GGTTACACAGGTTTTGGCGACAACAGGCCCGCCATGGGAGGCGTTGAGGTTCAAGTGCGTAACGGTCACTGTCACATCATCTTACACTGGGTATAGTAAGTAACTACAAGTGTCTAGTCCTGGTCAAAGTCCTCCGGCAACCTTCAAAAGTCCTAGCAATTTATACTGCATCGACGTCAGAAACAAAGGTCCTATTTGATTGAAAGCACACACCTTCTCTTCCTCGGAATCCGCATACATCGACCAATGATCCCGTTCGTCCTTGAATTCCACCACGAATGAGAAAGCAATGGCCTCCAGGTCATCGTACCCTTGATTCCACTCCTTGAGAGCGCGGATGTTACCCCGTAGATTGACTTGACCCAGAGTGGTTAGATCCTGTAAAAGACATGTTAGGCACCCGCGCTGAGAACCAGCAACGTAATGGACTCGGAATCACCTTGGGACTTCGATGCAGGAACATGGTAGTCCCGACGAACTTGTACCACCTCCGCTTCCACGACAGAGAATCCTGGGCAAGAATGGTTACCCACCCAGTCAGTGCTGTCTGTGTCTTCGTCTGTGTAATCTTGGCCTCCGCCTGCTGGATCTTCCTTCTTCTCTCCGCCTCTTCCAGTCGACGTGCCTCCTGTGCCTTACGCGCCGCTTCCTCCGCGTTCCGGGCCTGCTCCAGACGCCATATCTCCAGCCGCCGGTGCTCTTCCATGCGCCGATCCCTGTCGAGCCGCTTCCGTTCCTCCAGCTCTCGGTGCTTTCTTTCATCCTCGTCCCTCTCCACCTGTTCTCTCCGTCTGCGTTCAGCAGTAATCCTCCTGATTTCTGCTTCCACTTGCTCCTTTCTTCTTTGCTCCTCTTCCCTTTCTTGCCTCGCCAGTGCCTCCTTCTGCAACTTCAGTTGGCGCTGCCTCGCCTCCTCCTCCTCCAGGGCCTCCCGTTCTTCTCGTTCTCTATGCTTCTGAAGCTCGCGACGGCGCTGTACTCTTTCTGCAGGATCGCTCGGAAGGGTGGTCTCATTCGACCATTTCCCTCGCAGCGGAATCCTATATAGCTGTGTCGGTTCCTTGTTATGGGTTCTTTCCTTCTCAGCCGGCTCCACGACTACTATATCGTCTGAATGCCTCTCCACATAGTTATGCGATATGACCGCAAACTCGGACATGCTATGTGATCGCTGCCGCCGCACAGCACGATCCATAGGTGGTAGTGGCGGCGGCGGCTGGGAGTACGAGACGGCAACTGGTTGGGGGGTTTGAAAGACCCCATTGTCTTTTGGCGGGGTGGGCGGTGGTAGACCGTCCTCTGCATCTGGAGAATCATCGCTCCTCTTCTTGCGCCGCAAGAGATGGGTGAAGAGACTGCCCTTGGGCAGGGGCGGGACGGGAGGAACAACAGAAGGCGGTTGAACTCCAGGTGCGTAGGTGGCTGTGAACGAGCGTCGTACCATGTCGTGGATAACGGGTTTTGAGACGTTCTGTGTAGGTGCTCTCATCGGCTGGAGCGGGCGTGGTGGAGGTGATTGCACAGGGTCGAAAACGAGGTCGTCTTTGTTGGTTTCTGAAGGAAGTTTGGTAGGTGAAGTAGATATCGGGGATGCGGTCGTTTGGAGGGACGTGGGTGATGAAAAGGCGTTATCCAGGTTGATAATAGCTTGATGAACGTTATTGGAGGTTAAAAGAGAAAGACTGTCGATGGTGAAAATAATTTGGTGTTTCTAGGAAGAAATAAGAACAATGGGGGGTAACAATGGACGTGGCTGACAACCAACCTTAAATAAGGCCCCAACGCGTCGCGCATGTACCAGTGCCCGCGCTGCGTGTCCTTTAGCAAGTCGAAGAAGCTTTCTAGAGGGAAGAATCGTACCTCGCCGCACACTGGAGATGCATGGTGGGACATAATTGATTATGATGTACCCTGGGTCGACATCTCGTTCTTCGCGATAAAAAGCAATAAAGACCTCGTCCACATCTGGCAGCTTGGTTTTGAGCTCTTCGAGACCGTCATTTCCATAGGAGTGGAGGCCAAGCTCGTCGAACTGGAGACAAAAGGCCGGATCAGCTTTGCTGAGAAAGGCTGATGGCGAAAGGAAAGGAAGCGCGATTCACAGTGCCGCTGACATATTCCAGCAGTAACCTTGTGCCAGCCGATCCAGTTCAATTACAAGAATTGCCACATTATGGTTCGAAGGACGTACCAGTTGTTCTTGTTATCAATTATTGAGGAGTAAGCCGCCATAACCGCAGCAGGATCGTTGAGCGCCATAATTACTGGAGGTTGTTGGTCGAGGCCCCCAGGGCAGGTTGGAATGTATAGGATAGAAGCAAAGTAGAAGACCAAGATAAGTAGGCGGGGATGAGGTTATCAAATTAGAGAGGTGTGCATGGGAGAATTGGCACTTATGAGCAGTGGCAGACAGTGGCGCACCGACCTTTTCTCCTGGCTTCACGTGAGGTATGCAAGTTCCAAGGCAACGGCAAGTAACGAACAGATCCAATGTCAAGAGGGCATCCCAATCACTATCATGATACATACAAGTCTACTAAAACAAAGGTGAGGTGATCCGAGCTCTGGAAGGGACCACCTCCTGCTCTGTGATCATCTCTCCGTCTCTCGCAATGCTGCTGCTCCATCTGTTGCCTCATCAAATTGGTACATCGGAAAGTCCAGAAGAAGAGTTTTCTTGACAAGTGAAGGGAGGGGCCGATACAACAAAGGCGGGATAGGAATTAAGATCGAGGTATTGCTGAGATAGGCCTTGTACTGCGTCCAAACATCTGAATGCTCGTTGTTGCCTTGCGAACCCTCCGACATGAGGAAAAACTTCTTGGACGTCGGCTTTTCTGCGGTGGGGATCCCCGATCCAAACATCAGCAGTCTGACGGAAGTTAAGCCAAAGATAAGTACACATAAAGGAAACCTACAGGCAGGACTTACACGAGCGTAAAGATGGGCGATACTATCGCGCCGTACTGTGCAGACCGAGATGATGCAGGAAGATCACCATTCGTCGTAGACGACAGACACAAAATCCATATGCCCCACCAACACATTATCCTGATGACGCTGATCAGGAGGACAATCATCACTAGCGCAGGCGACCGACGCTTACTCCCCGAAGTATGGTGGATGGCGAGACCACGCCCAAAGGCCTCTCTGGAATCAGAAGAAACGATCAACAGCGGGACGGACATAAGAAAAGAAAAAAAAGAGCAGACATTCGTTGGTCGCCCTTTCGGGATCAACTTGTTGGCCTTGTAGTAGTACTACACGTTTGATAATAAAAAAACCGTTGGTAAGTGGAAGGGTTAGATATGAGAGGGCCGACTTAAGCTTCACCTTCTGTGCATCCGCTATTGATTCGATGGCAAACCCCAGCGTCCAAAGGATGATACCAGCTATATCTCGAGAGGTTCCAAAAGCAGGGTTGGACCCGCCAATTTGAAGGTCAGAGACAGCCGGTGAGTTCAGAATTGTAAGTGGAAGAGACACCGTCCAAATCTAAAGAAAAGGATAGTCGCTCGTTAGGCATGAGGAAAAAAAGCATATATTACGGCGACGGACCCAAAGTATTTGACCTATGTTTTCACGATGGCCTTCTGGTCAACAAACAATCTCACCTAGTATCGGTCATTGGCGACCCACCAATCCAAAATCCTGTCATCAATGAAAGCGCCAGTAAGGCTCTCTAAAGGCAAAAGCGTTATAAGTTGAAAGCGCACCTAAGAATTTGAAGAAATGAGACCGTATATCATCGAACCTTGTATCGCTCCCCGTCTTCAACACGCGAAAGAGTAGGAACCCCGCAATCCGAACAGCCCAAACCATGACTAGCACGCTTGCAACGACGTTCCTGGCATGAAATGTATTCCCACAGAGGAGCGTGAGGAGAGCTAGGCGGAAAACGCTGGTATAAGTGCTGACTTCAAAGGTCTCAAGGCGAGGAAGACAATACCTAATAGGAAGAAATTCGAGCCTGGCCAGGAGTATGCATAAGAACAGGCTCAAAAGATGGAAAAGAGTCAAAGACAGACCTCCAGTGAAATCCGTGATCTTGTCAAACTGCAACGTCCATGCAATCGTGAAACCTAATAGCTGGTAGCCCACGGTCACCAAGAGGGTAAATGCCAGATAGAAGCGGTCCAGAGCTTGCACAGGGGCCATGGCGATATCACACTAGTCAAGCGAGTGAAACAGAAGACAAGATAGGGAGAAAGGAAGAAGACAGGGAGGGACATCGCTCTGGGAGAGCGTCGATGCCTGGCTTTGATCGAGGACCGGTGGCTAAGCATGTGTTCTATTTTGGTCAGCCACAAGTGTTCGTTATAAAATCTACAAGTCCAACAAGCCTACGTATCAGGCATTCTATGGTCTATTGGGACAAGGTAAGGAAGAGAGCATCTACGAGAACTTCTATATGATACGAAGAGCACGAAAGTAGGGGCAGCAAAGAGATACGGAGCAGACGATGCGAGTCCAATTATATAGATATTTAACAAGCAGGTACGGTCAAAGGAATCTTCACAGTTGTCTATCAAGAGAATAGCCACAGGTCGGCGTCAAAAAAAAAAATCAAAACACCCAAAAAGACCACTCACAGCCAAGCCCTAAGTGACACGGAACCCGAGTCAACAAACAGGCTGAATTCGAAGAACCGGAAGAGAAACGCACAGAAAGACTCGTCTCCTTATACTTCACACTCATGTCAGCGGCAGTCAGGCGCATAGCCTCTATCGCCTCGTCTAGCGTGACGCTGTACACCCCATCGCTCGCCATAGACAGCTGAGCTGCTGTCACCGCCTTCACAGCTAGAAGAATTTGGCATGAATCAATACTTGAGCAATAGAATTGAGGCCGCAGTGTTAAGCAAGCACCTCCAAGGCTGTTACGTTCCTGCAGAAGATCGTCAGCGATGCAAAGGGCAAGCCGATTTCAACACGTACAATGCAAGGAACCTGCACAAGCCCGTCGATTGGGTCGCAAGTCAACCCAAGATTGTGCTCTTTTATCCATCAGCTCTTCACATACATCCTGCAGTCGACAGCTAACTCACCAATGCCAATCTCAGCCGCCTACAGATACCAAACCGATTAGTTCAACATAGAAGGCACAGAAGGATGAACTAACCTGAAGAACAGTCTCCGGCGATGCCCCCATGCAGGCCGCAAACCCAGCACTAGCCATTGAGCATGCGACTCCAACCTCTGCCTGACACCCTCCTTCAGCAGCGGAGATCGTGCTTCCTCTCTTGAATAGCATACCAACAGCCTGCACCGACACACGCTGTCATTGAAGTACGCTCTAAAGGGGCACAGACCAGAGTGCACTCACCGCGGCCGTCAGAAGGAATGTCTGTATACTCTTCTCTGGGTCGTCGCTGACAAACTATACGCGGGTCAGACATTCAAAAAAAGAACAAAACCTTTGGGAGGTACCTACCTCGATGATATACTTCAACACTGCAGGTATCACACCTGCCGCGCCATTCGTGGGCGATGTAACTATCCTCCCTCCAGACGCGTTAACTTCGTTGACAGCAATAGCGTAGCAAGAGAGAAAGTCCATCGCTGGTATGACCGTCCTTCTCTACTCACCAAACCGAACCACGGTCAGAAAAAGGCGCACGGGTTGGAGAATCAACTCGGACTCACGGGTGGCATAGGCAGGATCGCGTGGTCGAATGAGCCTGTAACCCTTGGTGCTCTCGCAGACGTCGGCGAGGTTACTGCCCTCGCCTTGCCGTTCTTCTTCCCTTCATCACTTCCACTCCCATTCCCACCAAAGTTGCCGTTGCCGTTGCCGTCCTCTGGCCCCTCAATCGCTTCCGAGGCCCAATTCCCCGCTCCAATCGCCTGTCGGTCAGGCGCGGCTACACCAGGGTAGAACCCGCGCATCAGACGCCTGTAAAGCATCGGCGCACGTCTCCTCAGGCCTAGACGGCCTGGCAATGTCCGCTCAGAGGTTGAGACGCCCGTGCGGATGCACTCATCCATGACTTGCCATATGCGCATGAGCTTTTATAATGTCAACGGACTGTAAAAGGGACGAAGGAGGGACGGGGCTACCTTTTCATGGATATCTTCGTCTGTGTAGCCAAAGGATTTCTGTGCAGGGGCATGAGTTAAGTGGAGAAACTGGAGGACAAGCAGACGAACTTCGTTATCGTGGACAATTTGAGCTATCGTCATCTTTGACGTAGTTCAGAAAGTGTGCCTGCTAGAAATTCGGGAGGGCGTACGTTGTGCTTCTTGGTGAGAGCCAAGAGGGTGTTGCCAGTGTCAAACGGGTAGGGAGGTTCGTTGTATTCGGGCTCAGCGGCGGATGCACCTTCTCCAGAGGTTTCTCCATGTAACACATGCTGGTCTACTGGATCCGACAAGGAGTGTATTTGGTGCAGCCTTGCGCCATGAACTTTGGTCTTGTCGACTCCTTTGTAGAACAAGTTCTCGTCGACTAAAAAAGGAGTTCTCAGAACCAGCACTCAATGCCACAGGGCGTTCTCGGATCACCTTTTGTCTTCTCATTAACTACGAAACCCCCGCCGACGCTGAAATATTCGTTAGTCGCCAATAAATCACCCTCTTTGTCAAAACAACTGAAACGCATTCCGTTAGGATGGGTCTTGAGGACTTGATCCCAGCGCCAGAGCATATCGCGGTCCATGTCATAGGAGATGCGATGATGGCCGCCTAACATGAGGTGCTTACTCTCGAGGATGCCATCGTAGCGGGACGGAATAGTTCCGGTGTCGATGGTCTCTGGATCCGAACCTGACAGGACAAAAGAAGGGGGCTAAGGACGACGGTTGGCAAGGCACACAGAGGTTGAATGACCTTCGAGCCCCAGGAGAATCGCTTGGGGTGTATGATGACTGGAACAAAATGAACACGGGGATGGATGGGAGAGGAAGACGCGTCAAGGACGCACCCTTTGCCTGAGATTTTGGGACCCTAAGATAATCTGGTACAGAACATCGGAGATTAAGCGCACCAGTGGCAGCGAGTGAGCCATAACTGACAAGATTGTGAGTTGCACGGCGAATAGGAAGCAGGGAGGCGCGTACAGATTTATCTTGACGGTGTGGACCTAACAGCAGATGGCATATTATGCACTCCGTGGGCCTGAAAAGATGAAACGGGGGCGTACCTTGTCGAGGAGATCGAGTTCCTTCAAATCCGTGATGAAGATCTTGGCTGCACGCATAGGTCCGACGGTGTGGGAGGAGGAGGGCCCAACTGGAGCGGGATTAGCGGTGTTGGATGGCGCCGTGGCTAGCCGCACGGACCTCCGATGCTGAACAGGTCAAAGGTGGAGATGACCGCATGCTCGGGTCGGTGGCGCTCGTGTGTGGTGTGCTGTTCGTCGTCGTCGTTGATGGGCTTGAGAGAGAGATGTCCGACGTGTCTGCTATGTGGCTTGGCGGTTAGCAGTGGGCGGGAGAAGGGCCTTTGGGAGAGATGTGCGATGGGCCTTGGTGTCAGACGGAGGCGCACCACTAGTGACATGACAGTCAGAGGACGGTGGTGATTGGTTGTTCGCTGTGATTGGCCGCGAGGAGAGTGCCGGAGTCACATGACCACACTGTTGCCTTGCGATTCAATTTCGTCGCTCTCCTCCCTCCAATCCGACCCCACAGCGCTGCTGCCCCTCTTTTCCTCGTGTCCCTGCGTTGTGGGCGCCCTCACACAAACGGCAGACGTCTCCCTGCGTCTGCTCCTCCAAATTGGGCGCCGTCAGTCCAGTGCACTAAGCGTTGCATCGAACCACCATGGCGGGCCTCAACCCTCCCTCGGGTGTCCAATCCGTCCTCAGCACACCCTCTCGGGACAGAGACAGAGATCGCCATCCATTTCCACCGACAGCACATCCGTCCCCAGCCCCCTCAATGCGTCAGACGACCAGCTCATCTGCCGCTGCCTCCTTTACAAGCCTGTCCTCGTCCACCACATCCTCTTCCTCTGCTGTCCAGGTCTCGCCAACCCCTCTAACAGTAGAGGGTCTGCTCAAGCTACACGCGACTGCATTCGATCCCAAGGCGGCAGCCCTTGACCAGGCGATCTCCGAACGCAACGTTCTCTCCTCCCAAAATACCCAGCTCTGGAAGCTCATCGAAAAGCAGCGAGCAGGCTACAACCAGATTCTGAAGGAGCTTGAGCGCATCCGCGGAGAGCGCGACTCCTACAAGACCAAGTTATCCGCCCTCAATGCTCTTCCCAACGGCTCATCATCGAAGCAGCAAAAATCTTCAACTGAGCGTACATCCCGTCCTAGTCTTGATACCGTCACTAGTCAAGCGAGCACCACCTCGCAGAACAGACAGACATACACCCGCCACAATTCTGATGATTCATGTTAGTTGGTTTAGCTTCTGATTTCTCGTTCGATTGCTGAGTTGACATTTCAGCAGCCACCCCGAGGACCTCCCAATACCCTCATCACCTTCATCCCTCTCGTTCCTTCGACAGCCGCTCGTCTGAAAATGGTTTTCAATCCAACGCTGCTCATCTCACCACACCGATAAGAACTGCTAGTCCTCTCCCTCCCCCTCCAACTTCTGCCCCCAACCCCCCAACCCGCCAATTCCGTCCATCCCCGTCGCCCCTCGTTGTCCCTCCTCGCGGCGAAAATATCCTTCTTGCCTCATCCACTCATACCAATTCTCCAGATACCTTTGCGTTTTCCAAGCAACCGCCCACTAGCGACCCAAACACAACGCCAAACAACTCAGCCCCAAACGGAATCTACCCCTCTTCAGTCCCCCCGTTGGCACACCCTCGCAAAGCTAGTGTTGCCGACAGTTTCACTAGCGTGGTCACCTCGGGAAGCAGTGTCGTTAGCGGGTCGTCACCAGCAACGTCGGTATCAACTCACAGTCTCGGAGCCAATCCTACCACCACCCCTTCTCAGCAAACCTATCACACAGGATATACCCCGCAAACTGCACCTTCCGGATTTAACGCGTCGCCTTTGCCGCAGGATTCTCGCCAGAGAACACCAAGCTCTGCCGCGCCGCTGAACAACAGTCCACCAACAATAGCAACACCTACCAATTCAGCTTCGGCACCTCTATCTCTACAACAGATCCCACAACCCCAGCCTAACATGCTTTCTGCAGTCGTCGAGACACGGTCGCATGTCCTCTCTCGCGATTCTCGCATTTCGCTCCCGGACGAAGCTAGGCAGTACATCGTCAATATGGCTGACTCGCCAGTTGCTAGTCCTCGAACCGATCACTTCTCGCCACGATCGAAGCTCGCCAACTCGGTCTTCCCGTCAACAGCGAACGGTTCGACCGGTGAGAATGGGCGGGAAAGCGAGTTCTTGGATATGGGTGAAGAGGATGACTCCGACGAGGAATCTGACGCAGAAGGGGCTGGAGATGTCACAGCAGGTGCCAGCGATCCAAGTAAGATAATCAGCCTCCCTTTTTGTTTTCCAAGAAAGCTCACAATTACCAGCCTTTGACACCGTCCGCCCAATTAATACCCATGCTGCTGCAGGGCAAACCCATCATGAGCCCAGCACCCAGTCCGCGTATCAGCCTCCCCACGTAGAGCACCTGAACAATTACTCTTCGCACTCGAATTCATCGCGAGAAGACCTCGACTCAATTCAATCGAAGCGCAAGGAGAAGTCACGTGTGGCAGCTGAAGAGTTTCCGCTACCACCACCGTCGAACCCGTACGTGCAGCGCCAGCAACTCCAACAGCAAGGTCCCGCAAGCATGGACGGCCGGGACCAGCCCAGCGGACCACAATCGTCGCTGTATGCTCAACAATCGATGTCGGCCCCAGCGCCCTCGCCATCAAAACATACGCAATCAACGGCCGATCAATATCCTCACAGCTCATTGTCGTCGAGTGGGAATCATCAACAACAACACCAGCATCCCTCTTCTCATGATACCTATACGAGCATGCAGCAGCAGCAGCCGGAGAGCCCGTATTCCGCCCCGCCCCCACCACCGTACCAGCTCCAGGCTGATGGTAGAGGGCACCACCAGCAGCAACCGTCGCTGTCCCATCAAGAATTTCCAGGGCCTCACACAACGTCCGTAGTCCAAGCAGGCGCTTTCCGAGCTCTGCCGCTACTCTCGACCGACCTTCCGCACACGAACATCATCGTCTCGCACTCGTTCGTGCGCCCGAACGACCGTGGCAAGGAAGTGCTGTCGTTCATCGTGTATGTAAACCCGGGTAATGGCAAGGACGGGTGGAAGGTGGAGAAGATGTACTCTGACGTGCTGAGCTTGGATCAGAGAGTACGCAGCAGTGTAGGCAAGGGCGTTGGGAAGAAGATCGCCAACTTGCCAGAGGGAAAGCTGTGGAAGGACCACGCACCTGCTAAAGTTGATCAACGAAAGGTGCGTTTCTTTAATAATAGGGCGAGCACAGGACGGCCATGGCACCCCATGCGCAGCTTATTGACTAGCTGATTGACTGATTACATCTTATGCCGTGTTGCGATCAGGCGGTTCTCGAAAACTACCTCCAGACGCTGATTCATCTTCCCGTCAAGAACAACGACGAGGTCATCGCCTTTTTCACGACGGACATCGTTCGAGAGCAGAAGCAGCCCGTGATGCAAGTCGGGCACAAGGAGGGGTACCTTACCAAACGTGGCAAGAACTTTGGCGGGTGGAAGACGCGCTTCTTCGTCCTCCAAGGTCCGGTGCTTGAATACTACGACTGCGTAAGTAATCTCATTATCCTTAAACTTTGACGAATGTTGAACGGGGCCCGCCCTTTGATGGAAATAGCGCGGCGGAGCTCACCTTGGGTCGATCTCCATCACGGGAGCGCAAATCGCTCGTCAGCATCGGACCGAGAAACCACCCACCACGGACGATGAGAAGGAGTACAGGCACGCGTTCCTCATCGTCGAAGCGAAGAAAGGTCCTGGTGGAAACCACCCTCGGCATGTTCTCTGCGCCGAGAGTGACGAGGACCGCGACAGCTGGGTTGAGATGCTCGTGCGTTACTACACGGGCACCTACAGCGAGGACCTCGTCTTCAACCCGTCGTCAGGCCTGACGTCACTGCAAAGCAACTCCGTCGCGGCCACGTCCCAGCAGCCCTCCTTGGTCAGCGTGAATAGCGTGAATCTTGGCCAGCCGCGGTCCAGCACAAGCTCGAATGATATCTCCACGCCATTGCCTGCGCCAATGGCGGCCCCGTCAACACCCCGGAGCAAACCGCCCACCCGCGGCTTACTGCGCGAGGAGATCTCCAGAGGACCAGCAGTGCCCATCTCGCAGTTGCCCCCTGACGGGAACAATGCGAAGCTGTTCCAGACGGTGCCGACGTCAGAAGATTACTCGCGTTCCGCGAGTCCTTCACGTTCTGTCGAACCATCCCCCATCGACAGGCAGGGACCGTCCGCTGCCAACTACGGATTCGAGCCCCAAAAACGTACTATGGAGCGAAGCGCCTTGGGATTGCCTTCGAGCTTGCCTGATTCGTCCTCGCCGCTGTCAGGCGCGCAGCCCTTCCAACCGGATGCAGCCAGCTCCGTAGTGGGCGGTCAGCGGGCGAATTCTGAGCTCGGCCACTACCCCGATCTCCAACCTAATCGTGGTCCGCCTGTGCAGCCACAGCGCCAGCAGTCACCTGAGCATCACCGGATACGCGAGCGTGATGACGGGCGGAGGGCGTTCCAACCTTCTCTCAACACTGTCGCGTCGTCACCGACGACAGCGACGGGTGCGAGTGCTACGGGCACCCCGCCACCCGATCGTGTGCCTTCTCCCGAGAAGCTCGACGCCAGTGGCAAGGTTAAGATTTCGGGGCCTATGAATGGTGCTCCTATCCCGAGTGGCTTCAAGTTTGGTGGAAAGGATGCTCCTTCTGCCGATTCGTCCTCTGCGTCAGCCAACAATGATAGAAGAGAGAAAGCTAAATCACGCTCGTTCTGGGGCTTCGGGAAAGGTAAGCACTAAGGCCGTGTCCCTTCTCTCTCTAGATTCATTCTAGAGATCCCATATTGACTGCTAGAATGAATGGCTGACTGGCTTTTGCTTAGGTGACAAGGGTCAGCCCCATGCGACGTTTACGCCGAGAGCTGTGTTCGGAGTACCCCTCGAAGAGGCGCTAGAGGTGGCTCAGGTATGCAATCTTCCGGCCATTGTCTTCCGTTCGATCCAGTACCTCCAAGCCAAGAAGGCGGATCAAGAGGAGGGCATATACAGATTGAGTGGAAGCTCAGCGGTGATCAAGAGTCTCAAGGACAGGTTCAACAATGGTATGTATCTTTTCATAGTCGTCGCACCCCAAAACTTATTTCTTTGTTTGCAGAGGGTGACGTCGATTTGCTGGCGTCAGATGAGTATTGGGATCCTCATGCTATCGCCGGCCTTCTCAAGAGCTTCCTCCGAGAGCTGCCTTCCAGCATTCTGACACGCGATTTACACCTTAAGTTCCTTGCTGTAATTGGTTAGTATTTTTTAAAACTTATTTCCTGACGACCTTTTGTGCTAACGCCTCAGTAGACTTTGTTGACCCTCAAGAGAGGATCAAAGAGCTGTCTCAGCTAATTGCCGCTCTTCCTCTGGCCAACTATAGTCTGCTTCGCGCATTGACTGCGCACTTGATTCTGATCGTGCAGAACTCGAATGTGAACAAGATGACTATGCGGAACGTAGGCATCGTGTTTAGCCCAACTCTCGGAATACCTGCTGGCGTCTTTAGCTTGATGCTGGGAGAGTTCAACCGTGTGTTCGATGTAGACGCGGACACAGACGAGCCCCGGGCTAAGGAAGGCGGTGGGCTCCTAGAACACCCATCAGAAGCCCTTCGACGCAATAGTCGACAATACACGGACGCGGCTGCTGATCAAGTCCTCGGACTATCAGGTCGCACGTTAAGCAGTACGTGTCGTCGTCTTGCGCAACGTACGCGTCCCTCTGACTTTTTTTTTCGCTTTTCTTTTCATAGCGTCCGCGGAGGAGACGCAATCCGATGGCGATGATTTTTCCATCCAGGACGAAAGTGGGACAGAAACCACCGAAGGCGACGCAACCGTGGAATCATCATCGTCTAGTCCTGCCTCGGCGATGATGCAACGCGACCATGGCATCCAAATTAACACACCCGACAGCACACCCAACACACCGACTGCGAAGACGACATCGAGAGCGGCCAACGTGGCTGCAAGCAGGGGTCTGAACGTCGCAGTTACGACTTCCGAGCGCGGAAACCGACACTCACGAATGATGGGCTTACCCTTGTCCCCTCGGCTCCACGCACAATCACACTCACCCTCGAGAGGCGAGCCCCCCAGCAACACGTCCCCGACCCATGCACGCTCTGAATGAGTGATATCCTTGATATAATGTATACCAACATCTTGAAGCACCAACTACATACTGAGCTTTTTTCGTTATTACTATCCCTCATTTCTTTTGACGTATACCACATTTTGATACCATGAGCTTATGTTCGCATGAGATTTTGGACTGTGTAAATCTACAATTATATCCTTCGTTCGATTGCTATCTTTTTGGGGAGTGAGTGAGTGAGAGTCGGCTAAAATTGTGGGATGAGCGGGTGTGGGACAAGTCTGATCATAGTATTGGCGTCACAGCCGCCGCCTCTGTCCTCCGACTACCATTGCCAACATCATGGGCTTCAAGCACGCTGCTATTCTTGCTCCTGTCTCCTTCTTTCTGGGTAAGTGTGAACTATGGGTCCAGTCTGTGCTGCAGCTGAAGCAAGAAACTTCCAGGGGTGTTGTTTATCTGCTTCAACGTAGACCACCGGATACTGTGGGGAGACCTAACTGAGGACGTCGTCAACGATTCATTCCAGTTCTACACGACCTTCTTCAATGCCCCACCCGCTATCAAGGTTCGTCATGTCTCCAAAGTCGCCAGACATTGCTCAAGCTCAAGCTCTCTCTTGGTCAGGCATTGCTCCACGGGATGGTCGGCGTAGGCCTCTTGGGCTTCCTTGCGAAACTCCACAAGTGGGACGAGAGTGCGGTATTCTTCGACGGCAGCAGTCTAGGTGCGTCTCCCCACACTATTTCTGCCCTCGCCTATCTCTGAACCCCAGACTTCTTTTCCTTCCAGGCGTCTACGTTTTCGGCATCGTCGTCTACCTCACGGTTACCGTAAACTCTCTCCGGACGATAGCCGACCCAGTTCTCGATGGTGATGCTGCAGAGTCTCGGGAGGACCAGATCATGGCGATACGCGTCCTTGCAGCAGGGAATATAATCATCGTAGGGTGTCTGGGCTTGATCCTTTTCCTTCAGGTAAGCGGGAAGGTCACTCGACCTTTACTTTTTTACTTTTCTCCGACTTGGTCGATTTTTAACTATTTGCAGGCGGGCCAGGAATGGGCATCGCGTTCGGAGGCAAAAGCTATCGCCCAATGGGAGGCCGAGCAGCGGAAAGAGAACACAGAGAAAAAAGATCAATAATGATCTCGGGCCTGCCGCGATGGTACCATGACGCCCGAATTTTCGTCAGCGCCGGCGCTGGCTAGCATCTGCGGTCATTCCTGCTTATTGGTTTAGTGGGACAATGTTTGTCAAAGGAAGAAACCCCAGCCGTGCGCCATGTTCGCTAATCTATAGCTTCGATTTCGAGGGCCGGAGACAATACAATTGGTTTATTTCGGGAACTCAGTGCAGCCTTGAGGAGGGTAAGCAAGTCATTTATTTGCAAGGCATCTAGCCTCCAGGTACGTGGCACTGTACAATGGTAATGGCTTGACTAGGTATGCTTGAGATCTGTTACGCGAGGATGATGGGGGACCGGTGACTTTTCTTCATGTACCTTGTCGTTGCATCTGGTCCTTGTTGTCTCGCAAATCTGTGCTGTGGACTGAGCTTCTGATGCACTCTGGTCTGTGAGACTCCGCGGTGCAACTATCTCGTCAACTGGCCTATTCCTTTCCCACCTCTCCACTGGTCCACTGGTCTTCCAAATCTCACCATGATCTCGCCTCCATCCTCTCTCGTTTTGGGAGGCGCGTCAGGGCCTTGCTTCTCCCGCGATACTGCCCTCCCAAGTATGCAAGCAATTCTGTAATCCTCTAGTCCTCCTCGAGCCAATAATCTCCACCAGAAGCACCATGTATATCCCCACAAAGTAATCACGACGACTGTCGGGCATAAACTCGAACGACTCATCGGCGCGCAGCGCACTCTCATTCGCCAGCACAGGAATTCTTATTCATCCTAAACGCGCCGAACCAATATTAATACAGGATGCGTCGGTGCGTATCTCGATAACTGCACGCGCGTTTTCTTCTTATTCATCCTATTTATTCTGTAATTCCTCTCCACCAGCCACCAACCCCGTGCTGTGCTGTGCCTTCGGGATTCAAGGGTGTGCTAGTTTGTGATCGACCAATTGCTGACCGACCAACGACCCGATGGGCGGGTGTTGTTTCCTTGCTTACTTTCGGCGGCGCAACACCATTCGCCCACTTTAGGCTCCATAATTGAGCTGACGGCACCCTGCCGCTGGAGCAGGGTGCCTCACAGCGCAAGGTCACCTGTCTGGTGCCCCGGGCTTCCAGAAAGTAGCGACTATGGGGAAGGAGGGGCCTTGGTCCCAAAAAGGCTATTGCGCACCGAGTATGGCGCACTCGCCTAACGCGACTCGTGCTTCTTGGGGGTGCGCTTCTTCGGCTGGCCATTCTACCCATCTATTTTCGACACCACTTCAAATTCTCAATGCACTGGGCCTCCCAAACTGCGCGCGGGAGTGCTCGGTCGCGCCATGACGGTCTGGAATGCCTTGTGTGGTCCCAAGCCCAGCTCGCGAACGAAAAACTTCACCAGGTCAAAGTTCCAAACGTAAACACAAGGAGAAGCACAAGCAAAGGGTTCGCGGGAGCACTCAGTACCCTATCTCATCCACTATAGCCAGGCAGACAGCCAGGCGCCGGGACCTGAGGCCTGACTGCTGCCACAGTACCTCAGTTTGAAATCGGATTGGTGACAGCATCACAGCGGGCGCGGTGCGTCGTTTACATTCAACCAATCCCCAGCGTTACCTAACACTTCTGAATCGTCCTTCAGTTACACTTCGTTACCTACCCAGTAACCAAGCCCTTAAACCGCACGGGCTTCTCCAGGCATCGTGTTGCGACTACATGACAATTACAGTAACACGATTCAAACCTATCGTGTGCGTTCTATTCACAAGGGGTGTCCTTCCTTCCTTCCTAACACTAATAGTAGTCCATTACAGTGGGAGGATTCCACATCGACGCGACCCTACAGCAGGCTGAGAGGCCCCGTGCGCGCAAGAGTCAAAGAAAAGTGACACGAGCGCATCGCCTGTCTATTCGTGGCCTCAAGCTCAAGTCTCTTATGTCCCTCCCAGGCCATTTCCATTCATTCGTGTATTCCGGGATGCAGACGATCCTCTAGTCTATTATACATCCTGCATCGAGGCTCGAGGAACCCTCAGGGAGCGACGATGCCGTTATGCGGCTTCCTAAAATTTCACCTCTCCTTCAGCTTCCTGCAAATTTCTTTCCATGGGCCTGCTCCCCAAGTCCCAAGTCCCTTCTTGCTCCCTGCATAGGACAGGAATCGCCACCGCTGCTGGGAAAACGCTCCAGGTACTGTGCTTTACTTGGAGCTTCGAACTTGGAAGTGGAGCGAAGGGCCTAATACTCTACTCTACTTAGGGATGGGACCCTCGCTCTGCGCCATTCCTCTCCCACACGCCCTTTACCAGTAAGTATTGAAGAAGATCGACCTGGAGCCCTGGCCCACTGGGAAGTTCATATGTGTGTACCCACTCACTCGCGGAAGGGGCTGCGGCGCTGGGTCTGGAATAGAACGCGGACGCGTACTTAGTACATGTACACACGTTCAAGCTGGGCCCGTTGGGTGATAAATGTGCGTGTAATGTGATAGATGGAGACTTGTATGCATATGCATATGTCCTTCCTTGGAATCACATTGCATCGCATTGAATCTGAATAGAACATGATGATGACGGATTTCTGTGAGATCTGCGAATTCCTAGAGTGAGAACGCCCATGTGTGCATTGAAGTCAAGTCCACTTCTGATCGAGCTCGAACAGTGATACGTACCCTCCAAACGTTTAGGAACAGCAGACAGCACGAAAAACAGAAGCGTAGGAGGGAGTGCCCAGAGTTGCTGGCACCGTCTCGGCCAAGCGTCAAACGCCTCGGACTAAAAATACGAGGGGTCAAAAACACGAAAACAGACAGACCCTCCCTCGCTGGCTGCCGGCGCCTGCCAGCGCCTTGCGGCGTGCACAGTTGACAAGCATTGTTCACCCAAACAAGTTTCCAGTGGACATACTCATATGAAGGGTATTCTTGGACGAGTTATGTAAATAATTTTAATGAGTCACTGAGGCACTGGACCCGGAGGGAGGAGCTCCACGACGCAGCCTACCAAGTAGGTTATCCATTCTGGGATGTCGATTCTATTCAGTGCTAGATCATGTCCTGAGAGGCGTCGGTCAAAGGGTGCTGGCGCCGCCGCCGCCGCCTATTCGCAAGAGCATCAACGCATTGTGCTGTCGTTGTGAAGCATGGCATGGAAGGATTGCCGTCTTCTGTTCTAGCTGATGGGATGGGAGGTGGCCGAGTCGGGGTGGCCTACGGTACAAAGCAGCAGTGTGCATATCGTCCCGTCGGCAGCACATGGTGCTTCGAGGGTCCCACGAGCGACGGGACGTGCGGTGAAGTAGGTGTGAGCCCGAGGGCGATTGTTGAGGAGCAACAGATTCACGAGCAGACAAAGGTGGCACCGGTCGTGCTTCGAAGGCTGTTTGCCGACCGATGAGATGGGATGGATGGCGACGCTGGGATGACAGGCCGGATCGTCATTGAGGGCGAAGGACGAGTATCTGGTCGCTGTGTCTGTAGCCGCCGATGATAGACAGTTTGGACCCAACGGTTCTGATGAGTGCTTGCGCATATGGCGGTTGGCGAGAGAAAAGAAGCAGAAAAGAAGCAATAATTTACGGAGAGGGTATGGTCGGGGCAGTTGAATTGGCAGCGAGGAGTCAGTCTGGGCTTTGGCCAGAGTGCAGCCTGTGAAGGAGATAACAACATCAGTGCTGCTGTTAACCCTTACGTCTTTATTTTTTTTCGCGAGTCGTGCGAGGAGAATTCGAAGCGGGAGTCATTGTTGGACTGCGTGAGCACAAAGCAAGGTCGCTTCCCAAAGAAATAATGGTGACCATGCGCGGGAGTCATCCGCGACTGTTTTCAATAATTAAAAGACCGGCGGCAGGAGGTATGACTGAGGGCGTTTCCCACGGCGATTGATGCGTAGCCCAGGTCTGGGCGGGACGGTCTTCTAGAATCTCTGAAAAGGAAATCGACCAAATCAGGATGCACCAATCCCCCGGTGCTACTGCGCCTTTCCCGGTAGCCTTCTACTCCCTGCCATTCTTCTAGCGCGCAGAGGATCTCAGAGTCCTCCGTGCGCTCCACTCTCCGTCGCTGCGAACGGCAGCGCCCTTGCGAGGGGAGCCAGCAGCAGCGGCGGAGGAGAGGTGAGAGAAAGTGCTTGGCGTGACGCGCGTGACGTGCGTGACTGACATTCGAAGTATTTGGCGATGTTGATGCTTCTCTCGCTTGCGCGTGTTTGGGGACCCTGAAGCGTGAATCTGGATCTTGGGCTTGAGATGGGATCTGGCCTCGATTTGGGCGGTCGCGTACTTAAAAGCAATGTCTTCCTCCGTCCCTCCCAGAACGCCCACCCCGACACATACCTCATCATGGACATCGATTTCTGCCTTACTTGCAACAGGAAAACGGTGCGTCCTCCTCGTCGTTCATCACAGCGAGCGCCCCAGTCTCACACTCCCTTAGGATGACTCCCTCTACTGCTCGCCCGAATGTGCTGGGCCTTCACAAATCCCTCCGCCCCGCGTCTACAGCGACGATGATGACGACGAGCTCTCCGACAGCACCGACGACGATGTCATTCTGCACGAGGTGGAGGAGATATCGAGCGGCCTGCGCTGGACGGGCAACGACAACGCAGGCATCCAGGCCTGGGCGGCGGAAATCCCCTTTGGCGCACCCGCGGGTGGTTGCTCGTCACCCATCGACGACGCATATTCAATATCCTCCATGTCCTCCACCAACTACCGCCCGCCACAACTCCTCAAGTCCCCGCGTCGCGTCGTCCCACCAACACTCTGCATGACCACTCCCCGCCCCGAACCCCCACCTCCTTCGACCCCCATGCTCACCCCCAGGCGCCAATCGTCTTTGGTTTCTGTTCTCCGGAACAGCCACGAAACAAACCGCACGTCCCTCATATCCGCACCCACCGACTCGTCCCTCGCCACTCCAGCCTCTTCGCACCCCGTACCAGTTCCTATCATCTCCCAACGCAAGCCCTCTACAATCGGCGAGATGTACAGCCAGGTCCGCTCCTGGGTGTCCCCTTCGCCTGTCGTCGTGATTCCACAACCGCGGCAACCCCACCTACCCCTTCCGCGGGTAGATTCGACGACGAACTTTGCGTTTCTCGGCGACCACGCAGCGGTATGCTGGAGCACCATCGTCGTCGACCCCAAGCAACGGCCGCAACAGCACACGACGTCGACCCAGCGTCAATCGCGCGGCCGCGGGCGTCTCGCGCCTGAGCTTCCGCCGCACGACGAACACCCATCGTTTAGAACCCGCGGACGGAAGGCGTCTCGTGCAGCTGCATGAGGTCGGCCATCCTCGCGTGTTCGCCTCGCCCCGTGATTCGCCCACTCTCGTATCTTTCGTCGCCTCTTCACTATGTACACCACTCGGCTTGCTCATAGATCTCTCTCCTCTCTTCTTTTTGCACCATCTCTCACATATGATATGGATTCCCGGACGGCATTCTCCCTCTTCCTTCTCACACCACACGAAACTCCTCTTGAAAAAGTGTCCGACTTCGTTCTCCCCTCAAGTATGACTTATATTTGTCCATCTACCACGTCTACGCTTGACCTCCCTCTTTCTTGCATTATGTCCATGGCACCCCATCCCTTCCTCAATACCCCTTCTTCCCTGGCGTGCTCAGCGCGCTGTTCGTCAAAACCACTCCTCCGTACGCTCGCACACTCACACGATCACTCTACTTATTTCTCTGTTCTTGATCTCATTGCATTGCACTCCTAGACACAGCACTCATACCTTGTACGTTGCTACATTCGACCATCCATTGTACTACCATATTGCAATCCCAGCCCTTCCAGTTGGCGCCCACATCTCATGCCATCTCTCACCCAAAAAAAAATTGTGTGCTCTGAATGAAAATCTGCCAGAACCTTGAAGGAACTTTCTTCGAAGCGTGCGCATCAGAATTCTGAAAATCAGGGATCACCCGCTGGCGGGGGAGTATGTCCTAAAAATGACTCTGGGGGTCGTATTCTCATGCGCCAGCACGCATACAGCCAGCAATCGCACCCAGGCCCGCTTCATGCCTTGCTTCCATCCCCCAAATCAAAACTAAGCTTTCGCCAACTGTGATTGAAAGCCTTTTCGACTGTTGTGTGCATACACAAAGGTATATACGTACAGTCTTTACACAGCAGATTTTAATGATCATGACGAGGATCTTTTTCCTAGTTTCCTGATAAGTGTGCCCAACCACATACAATCTATTGATATGCGCAACAATGGGCACCGAAAGAACTTCTCCATCCAAGGCCATTTCACCAGAGCTTCCAAGGGCACAACAGTGAGAAACAAGGGAGCGAGAGACCACTGGACAGGACTGGGCAGGTTCTATGCCGTCCGGGGGGCCGACTCGACTGCCAGACCGCCCCAGAACGCGCACTCAAGAACTGCCCCTCCGCCCGTCCTTCCCCGTACCTATACTTACCCCCAAGAGACGAGAGACGTCCCAAGTCCCCACTCGTCCTCCCCCGCACCTTCGTCCGAGTCGGACGCTCGCCCAGTGATACAGTCCGTCACTCAGTCCAAGTCCATCACAACCCCCATCTCCAGCGGTTCCCTGACAAGAATACAGGGCGTCAGCAGCCTTTTTCAGCTACATCTCATGGGAACGAATCCACTGGGGAAAGGACAAGAATAAATGGGATCGACGCTGCGCTCCATCAAGCTTTTCTGCCTAACTGGTCGAATCTCTCTCAATCTGCCCAACTCCAGTATGGCTAAGTGCATCGTTTATCTGTTCCAAGTTTACTCACTCGGCGCCCAACCAAAAGTATACTACTCTGCTGTATCCAATCATCTACGGCCTGCAGGAAGAGCAAGCAGGTAGGTACGGTCCGTTCGTTCAAACAAACAAGTTCTAAACAGCTCGGACTCGATTTTGAGACTTCATCGCTGGCAGAACGGTTCCACAGGGCCACAGGTCCGGTTGCTTCCAAATAATAATACTCTGCGATAAATGAACAGCGAACGCGCGCCCAAACGGCCACGGTGCATCATCAAAGTTTCAATTCGATGAAATGAATTTGGCCGCCATCGTCGTACAAGGTTACATCGCACTTCAAGTTGAGGAAGATCACACAGCTGGGAAACGTTCGTTTCGAGCTCCAGCTATCCAGCTATCCGGCTCTACATATGCGCAATAATTGCCAACGAACGCTAGCAGGTTCTCGATTCTTCGTTCGCTATAGAACGCCTCGAACCGGAACGCGCTTCACGCTTTCACGGCTTCGAAAATTCTCTGCCTGCACGCCCCCGTGAGCACAACGCCGTCTTATGCTTTTATTCACCATCGCGGGCTCTCGACCATCTTCCCTCGCCGTTGACCGAACCTTCTAAATGAAAGACGCGGCCAGGACCCAGACGCCGAAGCTCGAATAGCGCGCAGACGGGCAACGCGTTCGGCATCTCCCCAAGCAAGGCGTAGACGTTTCGACGCAGCAGAAGCGCACGAATGACTACTACCCGGCTCTCGCGAAGGGGGACCTGCCAGCGTTGTTTCTCAGTCCTGGATTCCCGGACAGAACGCTTACGGCCACGGCCAGTGGCCCACCTCTCGCCCGCGCCTCCGCGAGCGCATGCCAGGTTCTTTTCTATTCTCCGATTCCAATTTCCATGAGCTCTCATCTCGACCAACTATCATTGACAGCCCAGCGTCGCGGGCAGCCAGCGCCAGCGCACCGCATTGCAACCCGAACATAATTCCAATTCATACAATAGTTTATGTGCACTACACTACGGGACACGCCCACCAAGTTATATCATCATTGGCAGACGCCTCAAGGCCTGGCACTTCTCCTTGTACGCCTTCTCCGATTCGCCCGCGACTTCTGAGCCGCACTAGCAGACAAGCTCAAAGTAAATTGCGCACGACAGCTCCTCGTCGCGCGGGGTGGGGCCGTCTATGGCAATATGTCCGGACAATCCCTCCCTCTCCCGCGTCGCTATCACCTCTGTGAATCGTCACAAGACCCCCGCGAACAGCGCGGGACTCCCGAAGCCCTTGTGTGCCACACCAGCCTATGGCCGCTGTGTTCCTACCGACGTCGTCGCCACCATTGAGCGTGTCACGCTCCCTGTTCTGTTCTGTCTTCTTGTCTTGTCTATCAAGTCAAAGTCAAAAGATCAAATCAAGGTCGCACCCGTCGCTCGCGATACCAATCAGAATATCCCCTGCGTACATGAAAAGCTGCCTAGGAATTTGAGCGGGGCGTTATTGCGCATCAGACGCACGAAATAGGCAGCTCGGGACCGCCCTTGCGAACGCTATTCAGGCTATACCGGGGGACCGAGCGAGTGACCCACAGTGTACGACATCCATCGACATCGACGTGATCAGGGCGTGATACGCTCATGCTTTTCCTGGGGGATCGTCACGATGCTGGGCTGGGTAGGTACCTGCAGACGACAGACGGAGTCTGACAATGAATTAAAAGTGTGCATACGTTCCTTCGCCATCGACGTTCACGAAGGGCACTTCGGCGTCGAGCGAAGATAAAAAAACTTATGTGGCGCTCCCAGACCGGGCACAGGTAGCGACCTCACTTCACCGGCGTTTGCATCCTCGATCCAGCTCCACCGTGACATGTCCATCGGGGCCGTTCACGTCCCACTGATTGTCGTCCCAACCCCACTACGTATGTAAGTTGTATTTAGCCTTTGCCCACAGACGTCTCACGCTAACAGTTTACGATATCCGATTTGGCTCTTCCTTTCCCAACCACCCACCGTTGCCCCAGCGCCGTGGCTTGCTCCCTATGGCATGATACAAGGCTATCAATCACGACTCTCCCCAGCGGGAGCGCTGAACCTCGAGGCTCTGGGTAATGGGGGACGTATCGAATGCTTCGGTAAGTCTAGGATATCACTACAGCTTCAGGCCATAGCTAATCGCAGCTGCATCTCATCGTGAAGAGTCTATGTCTATCCCAACCTCCATGCGAAAATTCGCCACTGGTTGAGTCGGACTCGTCATGTGCGTTCGCGCATCGATGTCGCATCATTCATGTGGTCAGGCAATGGCGCGTAGCATGCCACTCAGAACGTAACCTGTCTGGTCTATGGCAGAACCTTGTTTTGAGCTTCCCATGAGCTTATGTTCACATTCGGGATGATTCTTCGTTTTCGACTGGTGTTATGCGGCCGTAAGTACTAGGTACGCACGGCAGATCTCCGAATCAAAGCCGTTGCTCTTACATTCTAATGAAGGACAGTCTCTAGTCGGAACCTTGGATTGATAAATCATCCTAAACAAAAAAAAGTGGATCTTTCCGACGAGTTTTTCTATTAATGAAATGAAATTCTTCCGGGAATACTAGTGCTCTGGTAAGTGACCTTGGAGACATTCATATCAATTCGAAAGACATTAAACTATGTCTAATCTCATTGTTTGAACTTTAGCTGACGTTGCGATTCCTTCTAGTTGATATGAGCACGTCAGACGGATCTTCTATTCATCCTCGTACAGTGACCAAGGGATCACAAAGGCTGTAGAGGAACAAAAGCCCGCCGGTTCCGCATCGGACACTACAAAGACCCAATAGGGGAACGGTCCTCTGCCGCCGTGTGGCGGCAACATCTCTCCACGACATATTCGGCAACATCAATATCACGAAGCAGGTGAGCGCCCCCATGACGCTATACGACCCACCAAGCTCGGGAATGACTCCACAGCCAGTGCCCCCGCCCGGGGGTTATAAGCTGGTATAGAGGGTATGAAGGGGTATGACCTCGATCGTCCACTTAGATTGGTGTCACGATCGCGACGCTTTATCAGCTATGATAGCAGCAAAAGGCAAGGACGCGCATCCTCCTTCCAATCAGCGCCCTCGCGCGGGATGGGAGGTGATACCGGGCAGGAACATCCTTCCCGGAAAACGCGGGTCTGAGCTTCAGACCCAGCTCCGTATACCGTTCCCCTTCTGGTCTCCCTCTTCCCAAGACATAGGCGCAAGCGTCTTGCCCACTTGGCGGTGCCGCGCTCTTGAATGCGATGCCACTACTATTCGTCTTTGTACCTGAGTATAATAGCCTGTCTGCTCCATTCTATCTTTCCATCTTTCATAGGTTATTTCTGACCGCAATTCTCTCGTCCGACCACAGTTCTGTCGGTGCCGCTGCGACACAGCCGCCTCTGCTCCGTCGATAAATTCTCCTCTGTGGGTCGGCCAGGAAATGAAGTGTCATAGAACGCAGTAGACACAAATGAATAAGTACTAGTACGGTGCCCAGTGTCGATCCCGTGGAGAGCGTCGAGCCCGAGTCGCAAGCGAGAAGAAAGCCATCCCGCGAATTTCGAACAAGTTGAACCCGGTCGTCCATTTCCATAGAGAACATCGCGGCGAAACGGGACCAATCCTGATTTTTCTTTCCGCTCTCAATATTTCTAGACGCCGGGCCACGTCGGTCTTAACCCATATCTTCGCTCACCCGTCGTAAATACATTCAATTATCCATTTCGAGCATTGAGTTAAATCAAAGGTTTAAGGTGCTCTGATATCGGCTACCATAAAATTGCAGACTTGGCTATTTTATCCTTTGAGGGCATAGAAGAGACACCGAAATCAGGAACCGCATGCATTAGGCGCGCGTACGCATCAGCGGGGCCGCGCTCAGAGTGATCGCGTCCCGCACGAAGCTTAGTCATCCATCAAGCGATCATGATCAAGCTGCTATTGGCCCGCTCCCGTCATTTCGGAACGACGACGGATGGAGAACACCTCCCCCGACACTGCATTTCCGCAGGTGTGCAGTCCAGCTATACCAGGGAGATGACTCTATATTCAGATACAATGCTTTGAATTAGTGGCGTTAGCTGTGAGAATCCCATCCAACGTTGAGGCTCATCACTCCAATGACCTTTCAAGTTCTGTATTTCCAGTCGTCGCTTAATCTAAGGTATTTAATCAAACAGTTTCACCGGACAATGGTAAGCAGAAATTGACCGACAAACCTGGATGATGGATAAATAGCCGGAGGCAACGAGTCAGGCAACCCCACAGAACACACGCGTCCTGGTTCCCTGGTTCGATCATTCAATCGCTGTGAACTTGCGCCTATATTCCGTTAGATTGAAGTTGTCCTCGGGAACCTTCGGTGTTCATCTCCAATTGGGCAGTGAGAAATGACAGACCCTGCCATAGCTGTTGTCCAGCAGTTTTTCAAAAAATCTCCCTTTCATGCAAAAGCCCTAGAAGGCGACGAGACTTGTAAACTCGAAAAACTATCCAACCACCCATCATTCAGGATCGGGCCTTGGTGATAGCAGTGTAGTATACATAGCCACCTTCTTTTAGACGAGGTTGAGAGAGACAGAAAACTCAGCTCCAAGAATGATGTCAAAAAAAGAAAAACTGCGACAATTATGCATATGGGGGATATGGACGTCCCGAACATCACGATTGGGGATCAGGAAGACTTTTGAGTCTGCGACGTTGGAAAGGTCCGACACAGGGTCCCATGGTGAAGGGATGAAATGCGCAAAAAGTAAGGAAGGGCATTAGAAACAAATTCATACACAGCAAGGACCCGTACTCAGTGACGAAGGATACATATACCAGAACAACTCGCAGTTTTCTTGGCGTCTGCGATTCTAGGTTGAAGACGATCATTGAGGTGGGGGTTGGAACCTTTATACAAGGTCAGTATTGAGCCGATAAAATAGTAGTTATCACGCACCCAGGTGGCGGGCCGGCAAAGCCTTGGGGAGGGGGGAATGGCATACCAGGAGGGAAACCTGGCGGCCTGAACCCAGGAGGAGGTCCGGCCATGCCTGGAGGCGGGAAGGGCATTGGGGGCCGTGCGAGCGAAGGGGCACCCACTGGGCAGGGCCGTTAGTACCAAAAAAAATCAAACAAAAAAAAAAACTTTTAGAGCGTACTTGGGGGCATCATTCCCATTCCACGTCCAGCAGGCATACCGCGTCCAGGGCCAATCGGGAGCTAGTCGAGTGATCAAGTAAGTTCTTCTGCATCCAGAAGTAGATCCCAGTACTCACCGCGTTCTTTTTGTCCTCATCCACGACGGGGGGTGGCCCTTCAACGCTGATGCTGACGACTGTCTCGCCTCGCAGAATAACCAGCCCTAACGTCCGTTTCATCTCCTGCTCGGGGGCGGTCTCCTCTCCAGGTTTTTTCTTGGGCCGTACGCGTCTGAACTCTTCGCATTCTGCCAGAACCAGGTTCATATGCCGGTCAAACGCCAGCATTTGGCCGATGAGTGCTCGTCCATCGTTGATCGTAACTTTCAGTCTCCAGTTGACGAGACTGAGCATCTTTCCGCCTTTGGATTTCGGAGGAGGCTAAAAGCATGGAGAAGATTTAAAAATCGTCAGCCTAGACACCAATTGGAGGATCGTTGTTCTTACCATGGTGGGCGATGCTTTGGAGGATGTCCATCCATCGTGCTTCAGTTCAAAGTTTCAACCAAATACAGACAAACATATGCTCGCCTTCTTCCGTTGACAATTATCCATGGCCGCTCATAACCATCTCTTTCCTTCCACTGAATTTGCCCTCCTCGTATGGTATGGCCGGCTTTTCGGTCTGTTAATCAAACGGCGCGCTCTATTCCTCAACCATGAGCATGTGCCTTTCTTTAGCTTTCACCTGACTCATCATCAGAATCCTGGCTTATATTGGGCCGGAGAGGGCCTTGGGACAGACATCTTCCTTCTGCTCTGACTGCTCTGAACGACGTCCTGCTCCTGTGAACTCGCTGCTTTTTACTTCTATTAGAACCAAGATGATTCCAATCCAGACATCCCTAACGAAGCTTTTGGGTGAGCAGACAAGAATAGACCTTTCAGGAATGACAGGAATTCAATCGTGGATCCAGGGATTGAATCTCCTATTGTCTCTGCACCCATGGCTGGTGCGAGTGGCGGTAAAGTGCACACTACCCATTTGCATGTCTCTGAGAGCTTACCAAAGGATTCAAACAGGCGCTCTCGCCGCTCAAGTTACCCTTGCCGGAGGTTTTGGTTTCGTCGGAGCAGGTGCGCCAGCGCCCCCGACTTAAAACCTTCAATTGATCACCTGGCAATTCCACGCAGGTTACGAACCGCCTGACAGCCTCACGCGAGAATTGGGTATCGCGCGTCAGCTTCTTCAACACACCGACGATGACGCCCCTCTTCCGATCGGAGTGGGATTTCTCGCCTGGCAACTTGAAAAGTCGCCCGACAGAGCTGAACAGCTGCTCTCCATTGTTTTGGAACACCGTGTCCAGGCCGTATGGCTTGCATTTGGTCAAGATCTGGGCCGCTGGGCCGACTACGTACGGAATCACGATAAGAACGCTGGCAGCGCAAAGGCTGTCAAGATTTTTGTCCAACTCTCCACCGTCGAACAGGCCCATTGGGCTATCAAAGAATGCAAGGCTGACGTCATAGTCGCGCAAGGTTCTCGTTTTTACCGAATTTTTTGTCAGGGTTTCGAAATAATTTACTTCGTCTACAGGGAATGAAGCAGGTGGACATGGTCTCGGGGCTAGTCTTCCCCTTTTAACGCTCTGTCCCCTCATCGCGGACGTTGTCAAATCATTGAATGGCCCCCCTCTCATCGCAGCAGGAGGACTCGCGATTGGAGCTCAGATAGCCTCCCTTCTGACCCTCGGAGCACAAGGCGTAGTCCTGGGAACCCGATTCTTACTGTCTCCGGAAAGCTTATACACAGACTCGCACCGTCAAGCGCTCATAGCTGCCGATTCGTCTCAGTCGGTACGGACCATGGCTTTCGATTATGCCAGGAATACGTTGGGGTGGCCAGAAGGCATCGACGGAAGGGGATTACGAAACGGTACGAAACTTTTTAGTCCAGGCGTGATGGCATTCACAGGTTCAACGTTCAAATCGTCCATCATAGCCACCGTCGTTGACTACGAAAGGGGAACGGATATAGCTGTTATCCAGAAAAAACTGGCAGAGGCCATCAAGACAGGAGACAATACCAGAATGGTGGTTTGGGCTGGCTCAGGCGTCGGTCTGATGACCAAGACCATGCCAGCGCAGGTACGTGTCCATTTCGACGCTCACGAGTGACAGACGTGATAGGCTAAACATACGGTGTTAGGACATCGTGAACGAACTGCACGAAGAATGTGTGCGACATTTACGTGGAGCTGGTGACCTCGTCGTGAACGCCTAAAACTCTACTCTCAAGCGACCGGCAATGCGGGTGGTCAACAAAGCGCGCCCTTTCCGGACCGTAGACCAATTCGTTTTTGTGCTGGCGGCCGTGGCAATTGCTGTTCCCTGTAGAACCCTGACAAGAATGAAGCCCTTTCTCTATGTTTACGCTCATCGGTTTCAGTGGCCTGCCATGATGTCTGGAAGCGACGAGATTTCCCGTATCCTCAGCCGGGATAGAATTCGCCCACCCGCCTTTCTAAAAGTTGGGTTACTAATAGAATGATGTTCAGCTTTTTTCGTCGGCCATCCCAAGCTAATAATATACTAACCCCAGATTCCAGTCTTACGTCTCCTCAAGCCTCATCTTTGACCCATGGCCAGTTGCCTCGACCTGTCTACTCATCCTCGAAGTGCTGCATCACATCTGCTTGCCTCCTGCCTGTGTCCCTGCAGACCAATCGAACCGACGGCGAGTACGAGCCCGTTTCCGGGAGGTGCAATCCACCGTCTACGACGGCATTCCGAACGGTTCCCCGAACCTGCCGGGGCCTCCAAGCTATTGCCGGAACGCGGCGTTACAACGCGTTCTCATGCTCGCCTCTCCCATTTGTATGAGTTCATACCAATTTTTCAGATGTCCTTCTTGAGAAACCAAGGACAGCTATTGAGCAGGAATCTTGCAGGCAAACGCATCTTTCTTCAAGTTCGCACAGGCTCCAACAATACAAGATAGGAGCCCTCGCCGTTAAGTGTGACAGACAAGTCGCTTTCCTATCTTGCTATTTGCACCTGGATCAGAAAGTTTCATATACTGGTTCTCCACACTCCCGGGGTCGTCAAAACAGCTCGCAACTGCATCTCGCCTGAATCACGGATGCCATTGTTACAACCACTTGATGCTGGAGAACCCCACTCACTACGGCAAACGAGGATCCGGATAAACGCAGCACAAGATATCTGCACGGACTTCAATTTCTAACACCCTTGTAGCACCATCCGGCAGCATTGCAACCAGTCCCGGCACTTGGAGATATCAAAATCTTTATCTAATGGCCGCACGAACTTGAAGAGGGCTATGAGGGAAATCCTCCAGTTCTGCCTTTATTGGTTCACAATTAGAGGAAGAGTTCAGGACAAGGGTCATAAAGTAACAGCTGTTCTCATTCTCATGTAACAAGAATCGGCCAGATGATTGGAGTGCCCAAGATTATTATTTACTTGTACAAATGTTTGATCTACAGGCGAGGGACAATCGTTCAATGGAATACATTTCGAATTTCGTAGAAGCCCTTTCATCAGTGGACAATTTCCACCGTCAAGTCTCCCTGGTTGATCGAGTCGCCTGTAGATAGAGTATTCGGTCATTCAACAAAACTTACAGTTGCATCAATGAGATGTGCATACCTTCGTGCACCACAACTCGTTTGATGTGGCCAGATACAGGTGCTGTGACGGCCGATTCCATCTGGCGGGAAAGTGAAGGTGAAAAGGGAAAAGGACGGGTTCAGTACTCTTGTTCGAAGGTGATAAAAAAGGCGAAATAAGCCCACTTTCATGGCGCTGAGAACTGTATTGTGTTTTGGGTATCAGCTGATAAGGCCTTTCCAGCAGATATGTGCATCTCGCCCACTTACCACAAACAGGATCGCCCTTCTTGATCTCCTGACCTTCTTTCACTCTCACTTCGACGACAACGCCCGACATTGGGGCACCAACAGAACCAGGGTCAGTGGTGGCTTTCTCCCGCGAAACCGTCTCAACAGCAGAGTTCTTGTCTTCCACTGAGACCGCGCGAACCTAGGATAGAGATTAATGAATATGCGTGATGCTTCGTGCTGATAGCGTTACCTCTCCATTGACTTCGAACCACACATCGCGTTGGGCGCGACCTTCGACTACAGGGCCCACAGCCATGAGCCGGATGATCAGTGTCTTACCCTTCTCGATCGATATGTGCATCTCCTCGCCAACATCGGGACGGCCAAGGAAGTAGCGAGTGGGGATGACGCTAGAATGGAATAGACATGTCGTAAGCCCTGGGTGGAACAAAGGCGATAGACACAGATCAGTGACACGGACGTACCTGAGGTCGCCATATTTCTCGATGAAGCCCTGGTACTCCTCGAAGACCTAACAAAGAGGTTATCCGAGGTTAAGCAAATGAGGCATTGCAGAGAAACCGGACAACCGACCTTTGGATACATGACGTACGAGGTAACGTCCGCATCTGTGATATGTTTTCCGAACTTGCTCCGCAGCTCTGCCTTGATCTTCTTGAAGTCCAGCGGTTCCATGGTGGCACCCGGACGTCCATCGATTCTGGGCTTGTTCCTGATGATTTTCGTACGTAGAGGTTCCGGGAAGCCTCCCACGGGTTGTCCAAGATAGCCCTGGAAGAACTCAACAACAGACGATGGGAAGTCTAGTTGGTCCGCCCGAGCAAGGACATCTGCCTTCGAGAAGGAGTTCGAAGTCATCCATTGGGCGAAATCACCAACGACCTTCGAAGATGGCGTAACCTGGCGGCAGATGGTACATGAGCCCTACCCCGCTTTCTAAAAACTCTATCTGGTACCTTGATAATATTGCCACACTAGAGGGGAGACCGCCAAATGTCAGTAGTGATGACACGAAAAGGGTTCCGATAAGCAAACTACGTACGAGCTCGTTCGCTTCGATGTATTTCTGCTTGATGACTGAACAAGAGATTGCATGAGAAAATCGGACGCGAGGAGGCGGACGTAGAGGCTCCACATACCCGTCCACTGTGTCCCCAAGCCCAATTGTGAGGCTTGGAACTAGAAGTATATCGAAGGCGATCAGAAACCGAAGCCTAATCTCCTAGGAATATCGTACGTACCATAAGGTTGGTATACTGTCCTCCTGGCATTTCATGGTCGAAGACACTGGAGTCTGAAGCACGGACATTGGCCTCGAAGCATTGGTACAGCAAGCGAACTTGGCTCCAGTACAAGTTAAGAGCTTGAATATCCTCATAGCGGATTCCGGTTCCCAAATTGGTCTGCTCCAAAGCCATGCATACTGCGCCCATTGAAGGCTGGGAAGTTAACCCAGACATGCCTAGAAAGGAAGGAAAAAAGAACGCAATTCAATACGCGATCGCCGCATTTCTCAGGAACGATAGCAATAATAAAAAAGAGAACGCACTGTCAATGGCAACGTCCACGACATCGGCACCAGCAGCAGCACAAGCGAGCATGCTCGCAGCCGCAATGCCCGCTGTATCGTGGGAGTGGACGTGGATGGGAATGTCGGGGTGCGCCTTCCTGATGGCGCCAATGAGGCTGAAAGAAGGAAAATGTGGCGTCAATTTCCGTGGTAAGCATCAACTCCATATAATACTCACATCTTCGCCGCCTCGGGTTTCAACAAGCCAGCCATATCCTTAACACCGAGGACATGAACTCCCTCCTTAACGAGCTGATCGATGAAATCAAGGTAGTATTGCAGGGTGTATTTCTTCTCGTTGGGGTTTGCGACATCTCCGCTATAGCAAACGACGGCTTCGACGACGCCACCAGCCTTCTTCGCGGCGTCGATGCCCAGCCTCATGTTCTCTGTAGAAGGAGAGTGGGTGTACGTCAGAACAAACGGGATCAGAAAATCCGAGTATGACGAGATAATTACCAAAGTAGTTCAGGGAGTCGAAGACGCGGAAAATATCAAGACCATTTTCGACAGCTTTCTTCGAGAAGTCGTAGATGGCATTGTCGCTGTATCACTGTTAAGCGCGTATACTAGTCGATCCTTTCAGAAATAGCTTACGGATATGAAGTGTAGCCAACACCGTTGGCACCACGGACCAAAGCCTGGAGAGGAATGTTGGGCACCAACTTACGGAGGGTGCGCTATTCTTGAATTTAGCGTCATCTTAACTGTAGCTCTAACCAAAAAAACACACCAGACGCTCCCAAGGATCTTCATACAAGAACCTCATGGCGACATCAAACGTCGCACCGCCCCAACACTCAATACTGTACGCGTTCGCCAGCGCGTAGCTCGTCTCCTTCGCGATGTTTGCAATATCAATCGTGCGGAGACGGGTGGCAAGGAGCGACTGGTGGGCATCACGCCAGGTGGTATCCATGATGAGCGTGCCGGGGTACTCGCGGACGGCCTTTGCGAACGCCTCGGGGCCATGCTCGACAATGATGTTGCGCCATCCGACTTGGCACGGGAAGGTGGTGTCGATTGGTGGTCCATTTGGGTCGTCTCTGTTCTGGAGTTGAGGAATGACGATCTCCGTCTTAAGGCCAGGTTCGCCCTGCATACAGCGGTGTCAGAAATGATGATTCCAGGAAAATGGCGTCAACATACAGATTGTCCCTTGATAGAGCTTCCGTTGACTGCGAGGTCTCCGAGGTATGCCAACAACTTCTGAGCGCGGTTCTGGCTCTGTACCAGCTTGAAGAGCTCAGGCGTGTCATCGATGAACTGAGCACGTTGCTTGAGCAATCCGTAAATTGATGAATTAATTAAAGCATACCGTGGTCCAGGTCTTTCCTCCGATGAAGATATCATGAGTCAGGAGTCGGAAAAGGAAGGGGATGTTGGTCTAAAAGGTGATAATTTAATGCTCCCAAACCAATTCGGGAAGGACTGAAAGACAGACCTTGACACCTCGGATACGGAATTCAACCAAGGCGCGAAGCATCTTTCTGCGAGCGACCTCGTAGGTTGTTCCGCTGACAGTACACTTAACGAGCAGACTGTCGTAGTGGGGCTGAAAATGACATTTCGGTTGGCAGATGAAAATTCCAAACAAAAAACCCAACTTCGACATACTGTGATCTGGGCGCCAGCAAAACCCGAGCTTGCGTCCAAACGCACACCATTTCCGCCAGCACTACGGTAAACCTCGATCTTTCCCGTGTCTGGTTGGAATCCCTGAGCAGCGTCCTCTGTCGTGATACGGCACTGAATAGCGAATCCGCGCTTCGTGATAGCCTCCTGCGTGAGGCCGAGTTGGGGGAGAGTTGCGCCTGCAGCGATCTGGATCTGGGCAGCCACAATATCGATGCCAGTTATCTCCTCTGTAAACCATGTCGTCAGTTCGAGGTCGAGAGAAGCAGCGTTAAAAATAACAAGACAGGAGGCTGTCGATCGACGGAGACAGAGGCGACACGCACCTGTGATTGTATGCTCGACCTGAATACGCGGGTTGATCTCGATGAAGTAATGCCTTCCCATCTGGTCCACCAGGAACTCAGCAGTGCCTGCATTCCGGTACCCAACGCTCTTGGCGAGCTTGATCGCGTCATTCAAAATAGCCTGGCGAACCTCCTCTGGGAGGTGCGTGGCCGGGGCAACTTCGACGACCTTTTGGTGACGCCGCTGGACTGAGCAGTCACGTTCGAAAAGATGGATGGTGTTTCCGACGGCGTCAGCGAGGAGCTGCACTTCGATATGGCGGGGTCGCTCGAGGAAACGCTCGATGAAGACTGTGCCGTCACCGAAAGCGGCCTTAGCCTCGGAGACGGCACGTTCGAAGGCAGTCTTGAAGTCGGACTGTTCGCGGACGACGCGCATACCGCGTCCACCACCGCCCATCGCGGCCTTGATGATTACGGGGAAGCCGTACTCCTGGATGAAGGCCTCGCCATCCTGGTAGCTATCAACGGCACCTGGGGTACCCGGTACGACAGGTACACCGACTTTCATCGCTGGTAAAAATAGCAGAGGTGTAAGTGACGTCAAAGCTAATCAGAAGAATGGTATTCCTCACCGAGCGTCCTTGCCTTGGTCTTGTCTCCAAGCCCATCGATAACCTCTGGGGTGGGCCCAACGAAAGCAATGCCAGCTTGCTCGACCTTTCTGGCGAATTCTGCGTTCTCGGAAAGGAAGCCGTACCTGCGCGGGACCGGTCCGGGGTAAGTATGCGCCACAAAAGGCGGGCAGGGTGGAAACGGTACTGACCCGGGATGGATCATATCGACGCCATGCTCGAGGGCAATCCTGATAATGTCGTCTTGAGCAAGGTAGGCACCTACGGGAGTGAGGCCTTTGCCGACTTGGTAGGCCTCATCGGACTGCAATGGTGCAAAGAAAGAAGCGCGCGTGAACAGGGTGATCAAAACCTATGTTATGAACCCAACCTTTTGACGATGGGCTGATAAGCGATCCTCGAACGAGAAGATCGCGACGGTGTGCATTGCAAGCTCATGAGCGGTACGGAAGACTCGAATGGCGATTTCCTAGACGGCCAGAGCGTCAGGAAATCGGAGAGGGTATATTGGGAATACATACACCGCGATTGGCGACAAGGATCTTGGTCAATGGGCCACTGTGTCCAGCCGCCTTCCTCCTCATCGTCTGGATGGAGTGGACGGGCGTGCCGGGTATGCTCGGTGTGCCCGCGAAGATGGGCGCAAGGCGCGGTGGATGAAGGGTATTGGTGGACTGTGAGGCCATTGTGGTAGCAAAGGACAAGCTTGGGTCCTAGCAGGATAAGAGTAAGGGTTTAGGGAGATGTCGGATGAAAGAGGGTGAAAGCTGAAGCGGAGGGTGAAAATGGAGTTGAATCACGAGAGAACGCGACGGGACCTCTGCAGCTGGATGGCTGGTGGATGGTGGGGGGAATTGAGAAAGAGCTCGTCGAGAGCGATGGTATCTAAATCAAATTTGCGACTGGGCAGTTCCTACAGACTCCGGCAATAACGCGGCCCATTCGCGTTCACCCGCACATCTCCACCTCGCCTGCACAAACTTTCTCGTGTCATTACACTCCTAAAGGCTGCATTCCTGCTTTTTCGCGATGGTCAACCCGTCCACGCAATGACTACCCCGCTTTCTCATCGGCCATCACCCCGCACATGTGATATCGTCCCAGAAATAAATACGGAGCGGAAATGAACATCGCGCGCTGCTTTCTGCTCACTCTACGCCCCTCCGTCTACGCCCGACCATTATCATACCGCTATGGCCTCCGGTTCGTTAGCGGGAGAATCGCGTCTGCTTGCTGGCGCGACTCCATCTTCTTCTGGTTGTTCTTTGCCACGGCGTACACAACTCCAGCAAAGAACCCAACCCCCACCGCCGACACAGAGCCAAATGTCACCGGGTCCCCGAAGAATAGCATGCCTGAGGCGGCTACAGGCAGCTTGTTCAGAGCTCCGACCATGCTGCTCGATCCTTAGATAAATGCTCGCAAAGGCAACAGTATCGCCTCACCTGTAGGTTGTACTACTTGTCACCCGCACACACCACGCCGTCGTGTACGATATCCCCACCGCAGCAGCACCAGAGAATGCAATCGCCGTCAGGAGGAAATTTCGCGTCGCAGGAGGGCTATGCCATTCGTCAATACCGCGCCTTATCAGCTCGGGCCCCTATCACTCACAAATTCCTATTCAGATTTTCCGTGCCCCAGTCTTCTGCAACGATCGAGCAAACTGCGAGTACTGGGATACTCAGTAGGTTGTTGTAGAACATCGAGTCCCAATCCGAGAATCCTGTTGATTTGATCTTCTTGCGCATCGAGAGCACCTGTACTATTGTCAACAAACCTCTTCAAAAGGACGTATATCGTGAAACCCACGTAGGCTGCGCTCGTGAGACAGTTAACCAACATCCAGAAGTACCCGACATTGAGTCCACGAACAGCACCAGCAACGGATCGAAGCGAATCCAGGCTGATTCCAGTACCCACAGCAGGCAACGACCCAGAAAGCGCACTAGTTACGTCGGACCACGCGGCAATCATCGAGGATATCACCTTACTCGAATTAGGAATGTGATTTCAGGGATTGTCCGAGGGCTCACCATAAAGATAAACGAAACAAACGTCAAGGCCGTCACTCTTCCTCCGAACCAAATAACCTCTCCATATGCCTGTGAACACCATAAAGTGTGCTCTCAAGTGCAACTCCAATGGACATACAATAAGGATAATAGTAAGATTCTTGAATATCGTATACACCGGTATGCTCAAGTGTTGCTATAAAATAGATGTTCAGTTAACGTCCAAGGACATGAGAAGAAGCAAGGAAACGCACCAAACTCTTCGACCCCGTATAAATCACACTAACTAACAGGAAGCTAATTGGGAACCACGCCTTCGCGTCTTGCATGTCGAACGCTCTGAAGGAGATGATGCCGAGCTTTTTCACCACCAGGACGCACGTAACGCACACGGTGGACTGCATACACAGAAGGAGGAAGTTCATAGAGAAGTTCGCGCCGGACACTACAAACTGTTCGAATAGCAAGTATTCAGCGAGGACGGCATCAACAGAGAGTGAAGACTAAAGACACACCTTGTTGATTACCGTCATAAGAATCGACGCGAGGCAGTAACACACAATAGACGGGACTTTGCTCCAGAGTCAGAATGCTCCCTCTCGAGCGAAAAATCAAACCACATACTGGCGGCATTATTCGTCTCCTTCACCTGACCTGTGGCTATCATCTTCTTATACTCCGCCACATCCTGCTCGGCCGAATTCGAAGTTTGTTTGCTATGACTACTGCTTGCTTGTGAGGCCATTTCTCTTCGCTGTTGAGGCTGACGGATTCTATGTTGGGGCCGAGAATAGCTGCAGGGGGTTTTCTTGAGAGCTCTAAAACGATTCGCGTCGAAGTTATAGGAATGAAAGCAGGATAGGCCGTTGAATGGAAGATAGTGCGAAGTCGCTAGCCTGGACCTTCAAGTTGTGTGTAGACGAGTGTTATGAATGAATCAAGCCAAGTGCTGACGCGAAGACCGACAGCTAGAAAGCAGAAGAAAAAGATGAAAGACGAATTAAGGAACGCTGTGACGGGATTTTGGCCGACAGGGGGCGTCGTCGTTGTTGGTGGAGACCTTCGTTGAGCAGTCGACGCGAGAAGAATTGCTGCACTGACAAGTGAGTACGTCATCATATTCACGTGATAGCGGCGTGCCGCGCTAATGCCATTAAGGACTCAGGAGACGCGTCGGACTCGCGTCCAACTCGCGTCGCGAGTCGGCTCAGTCGAGGCGAATGAGTTCAGTGAGGAAGCAGGCGCGGCTCGTAAATAACGTTCGCTACACCCCCCCTCGATGCAAAAAGGTGGAACGTGAGTCCGAGTCCCCCATAGCCTCGCGCGGACTTAGAAGAGTGGAGCTTACATATGTCCACCAAAGATGCTCGTAAGGAACAGAGATGGAGCTTGCGCGATTAGTGTTTCCCAAGCAAGGGTCTGACTCAAATTGACACGCTCTGTACATACTCAAGTATGTACATCCTTTTCCTGTCACCCCTAAGAGTTTTTTTTTTGTTTTTGTTTTTGTTTTTTTTTTTGAGCTAGGTATTGGGTGAACTATTGATATCACCTCTAAGCGTAGTAGGGACCCAGTACACTGTATGCACGCCACCTCCAAGCGCAGGCAGACCGGGGTAAGTACGTGATGGGTGGTTGGTCCCCACCATCACTGACATACGCACGGGATACGCGTAGACATTTTCTTAATTTATACTTACAATACGCATCCGGGACTGTAGGGAGGCAACTGCTTGCAGAGATAAGGCACCCGCCCAACGCCAAAAAACCGACGCAGCGTACTATCTATATCGACGAAGAAATCCACCATCAGCGCAGAATTGAACGCACCGCAAGGGAATTGATTAGCAAGCGTGCAGGGCCAACTCGAGGCTTGAAGCTTGAAGTGTCGCCAGTCCCATCTTTCAAACTCGACTTGCCAAATACCGCTCGTTCCCTGATCAGGTTTTCCATAGCTCGCCGTTAGAGGGCTCATCGAGCTGGTTCTGTTCTACTCGGCTTCCCCATCAGAAATTTGACTGTATCATAGGGTCTGTACTGCATATTCACAAGTGCACAGTCCATACGAGCAAGATGGAAGTCGAAGTCGTCGAAAGTTCGTCGAAGGTGACCGCCGTGCCCACAACTCGGCGCGAAGGTGCGAAAGCGTGAAGAGGAAGACTCGGAGTTGGTTGACGGGCCAATCGTCGCAGCATTCGTGGTACCAAATAGCTCTCGATGTATCGACAATCTCTGACCGCAATAACCCGATGCACCGATGCAGATAGCGCGGCTGGAGCCACGACTAAGCGTCACACGCACCTTGGAGAGAAGTTCCAAGTCCTAGTCCCCGACCGGCCGAAGCAAAGACGAGGGAGTCGATCGAGCACAGGCCCATAATACGAGAACGCACTGTCGATGACTATAGAGCATAGCCGAGGGTCAGTGAAGATTTGGCTTGCTCCGGCTCTCCGAGCGGCGTCTCAGCGTCGACGCCAACAATAGGTATCTGCGAGAAAACCTCTTGGGAGTTAGGATATTCGGACCGAATGCATCTGTCACTTCACGACGCCAGACAGCGGTCTGTATTGCAGTTGTCGGACTGATACATTGCACGGTCTACACCATCATCGAGACCACGAAAGCACCCGGTATACGCCTTGCACCGCCCACAAACTGGTGTAAAGCGAATCGCCGATCCGCAAGTGATAATTTAACGTCATGAGAGGCGATTTTGTTGCCGGTAGGTAGGAATCAACGCGATACACAAGAGATCCATCTTGATGATTCTTCGTAAATTGTCTAGACTTGTCCGATATGGCACAAGAACCGTGTAATAATTGTTCGGAAATCTGGCACTGGGGCCCAGGGCGGGGATCTTCATATGTTGTGAGTAACGAGATCAGAGAAAGACGGAGGGAAATTGGCGTGTCCCCAACAGACAACCATGAGATATGAGAGGTCAGCCAATTGATGGTTCGCGGGAGCAAGGTGACCAAACATCGGCATGTCAGACATACCGTGGATGGGGCGAAGCGGCAAGAGCGGTTCGAGCGGGGATTTCGCGACTTGAAGAGGAAGCTGTGAGCAGGTCCGCGTCCGTTTCTTAGGAGAGACGCGAATGATGAGACCTGACGGCCTCGGAGAACGAGAATAGCAATAGGCGCGAGAATGACTGGAGAAGGCACGGATAATCGAGAAGAGCACACCAGCAGGATTTTACTCTGCAGTGAGTGTTCGCGGGAACGCATCCAGTTTCAACGGTCGTGCAGTGGGGTATCGAAAAGATCTTGAGAGCCGGTGAAATATCTCGGTAAATTTCATTACAGCTTAAATTGCAGCAGCATATGAAGAAGATATCCACTAGTAGTCCGACTCGCACAGCTGTGTGGACGTGGTGTGGCTCCTGGCAGGAAGTTGAAGTCAGGGAACAGGGAGCAGCGTCCGCTCAAGTCGCCTGAGACCCTGTGCTGACTAATTTCCCCACACTCATCATCGCGACCTGTGCACTCTTGCAGCCGCATGACGCGACCGCAGCGCGTCGAGTTGTCCTCCACCAGCAACTCCCACTCTCGGTAAACTGTCATTCTACACCTTACAAGTACATTCGTCAACTTCTCGGATTCCTAATGGTTGCAACATGGCTCTCAACGACCGCTTCCATCGGAATGGCTGTGGGCCCTCCTCTCGTCAGTCTTACCCTTCTTTCCATCAAAGCTGTCGAATTCCATGCTGAAGAATGAGTCGTATAGGTCTATGCCGACCAAGCTCTCTCTATAGTCAAGAAGAAGTGCGTGTTCTATTTCCCCTTTGCTCCACTAAGAGCCTAACCCTTAGAAACCTTCGTAGGGACGCTACAGGATTCTCTCGTGACGTTTGCGCGATATTGTCGTTATCTCTTCACCGCCGAGCTCGTAGTATGCAAATCTGACTCCTGGAGTATGCTCTATGCAGGCTGATAGCCAACATAACAAGATGCTTCTTCTGGCTAGGGTGCGGCTCTCTGTGTGATTACGAACAATACTCTCTTTGAACATTGTGGTCCTCATGCAGGAACCGCTTTGAAACCGCATTGCTGGTGCAGTCAATATTGATGATACTGGCCCAGGTACGTTACGTGCACTCCACGCCTTCATCTGAACTTGTTCTCACAAGATCCCAGTTGGCCCTGTTGTACATCTGCATAATCTACCGGCCTAGACTGAGCACAGAAGCCATCGCCGGTTCGACGCGCCCACTGTCGTTCTGGCAATGGCCTACGTACACGCAATACGTCGAATTCCTCGCGGGCCTAATGTGATTTCCTCCCAATTCCCATGTTAACGTTCTCACTGCTGAGAAACCATCAAGTCTCTGCCAGGCCATCCTCTTCCTCATCTTTGGTCGATCCGAAGTTTTTGTGGGCACACTTGGATTTGTAGCGCTGGGTCTTGAGAGCACTTTGCCTATCCCGCAGTTAATTAGGTTCGAGGCCCGTCCATTTCGCAGAGGGAGCAAGGTCTAAATGCTTATGGCCCCGATAGCAACTACAAACAGCGCTCATTATACGGATTCCGCATGTCGACGCTTATCGGTTGGGTCGGAGGAGATTCATTCAAGTGAGTGCATCGAATCTCTTTCATTCCAACAGTGACAAGAGGTTCATACCATCTTTTATCTAATCTCTTACTCACCTCTCTACTCGGGAACTCTCATCAACCTTCCTTTTTTTCCATCAAGAACGGTATACTTCTTCCTCCAACACTCACCCCTGCAATTCAAGGTCTGTGCCGTCTTCCAATTATCTATCGATGTTGGTAAGTCTTTTCATGTTGACTTTTGTCATTCTGAACCTATCTGTGTGGACTTACATCGCCCGGTATCCAGCCATCATCTTCCAGCGCTTCGTTTACGGCAATGCCCCACCCATGTCCGTCCTTCTAGAGGAAGGGGATGAGCTGGAAAGGGCCCTCGCACTCTCGGAGGAATAATAGGAAGAACACAGACATTATTTTAGAGCACCAAGCTGGTTATTCTCTCATCTTTGTATGCCCGAAGGTGATGGTAGGCCGATAGATGGACTTGAGATGTCGGACCACAATGAACGTGAAGCGAGCTTCTGGCCTGACAATACCCGGGTTTCGTTCTTAGGTTCCATGACATAGGTATGCACTGGCTTCTGTAGATCATCATCTCATGGCGGGCGAAGGGATGTGAAAGATTGTGGAAAACATTGAGTGCCATTGCCAACGCTTTGTGCTGGTTTAACGTTGACACTGTCCGAAAGATATCCCGACATTTTGACTGCCCATGCACGGAAATAAGGATGGGAAGTCAACGGCTCGATATGCACGGCGCCACAGTTCCACGTCCTCCAAAACCCGGAAGTTTGGTCGAACTCAAGCAGCTCGTTCTCGTTCTCTGTGGGCGTGAGTTGGGAACTTGGAGCCACCATTCGCCATTCAGGCTATGTTTAGAGTGATGTGACGGTCCTTCGCCATCTTACGGTCCAGCGGGAGAAAAGGGCTGCATCTAGCGCGTAGTTTGTCTGATTAGAATTTCGCAGCATCGACGGTCCAAGATGTGGGTCGGAAATAAAAGATTTATCACCTTGATTGCTCCGTCGAGGGTATGAAATTGCGTGATATGGACGGGCTTGTCCGTGAACGTACCACGTAATGTGCGCTGGAAATAGATGAGTATCGCGCGGGCCATAGGTGTGAAGCACGACCCATGGTGATGCCCGTCAAAGAAGTGACCTTCAGTGAGAAATCTATGCAGATGGCGAGAGAAGACGCTTCCAGACTCCTCAGTGTGGACAAAGTCGCGTATACTTAACTTGATCATTGATGTAGCGTCCTCCCGTCAACTAGATAACGCACGATCCCGTACCCCGAACTACCAGACGACTGATGACAGCTATGTTGTTCTCGAGGCGTTGCTTAGACTATCACGAAAATTTGCGATCTGAACTCTAACCAAGTACCCAAAGACTATCATAGGCAAGACCAAACGGAAAGTTGCGATGGACCTGGCCGTCAGACCACCACAGAGGAACATGGTTCAGAAACGAGAGGTGCTAGAGCACGCCTGTTGACCTTGTCACAAACGACCTAATTCCTGAGCCAGGTCCATCAGTGGTTCTATAGCTGAGGTCGGTGCCAGTGAAAGATTTGAAGAGATTGGAATTACTTCATGGCTGCCTCTAAAGAGAGTCCGTTGAGAGTGAATTGACAGGATGCTGGCATTAGAGTGAGTCGTTTGAACAAGTCTTTGAATAAAACGAGAGCCTGTGGGAGTGTGTTGACCAGGCACCGAGTCTCGTACATGCTGAGCGACCAATTAAGTGGTCAACCTGAATGGCCCCCGTCACGGACTAACGGTGTATTGAAATCTGAGACAAGGTGACAGGAAGTTAAAGCGCTCCCATGTCCACAATGGAAGTTTTCCTAGAACTGGACGAGAGCAGGAACAGTAGACGACTTTCTTCTTTCAATTAAGGCGAAAGAAGATGGCGGTGAGGTCAAAGACACGGTTCACTGAGTTTGAAGGGCTGTCGCTTTGAGTCAGAAACAGCATGGCACACATGTTCTACCAGTAGGGAGCTCCTCCAACTTGGGTGGCGGGATTAGTGTGTGGGGGGCAGAGCCAGCTTCTGGGGTCAACTTTAGAATGAGGCAAGCAGGCTTACAGGCCAGGGTTTATCACCAGAGGACTCGATTAGGCGCTGAACAGAGCAGAGTTGGGAGCCAAGTTGGAATGCATAGTAAAGTCAGGGGGTGGCTGTCCTGCTTGTTTGGATTCATCCCGACGAGACAGCAATCACAAACAGCCTAGTTACCTCCAACCCTTACCAGCGCGCAGCTCATCAAGTCCTCCAGGACACACACACCCTTCACCATGGCTGCTATCGACACATCAAAACCAATTGCATTCTGCGAGCACCTTCAGCTCTCCAGTCTTGGCGTACAGCCCGCCTCCATTTCATTCCAGGTGCGTTGACGCGACACGACCTTGTTGACTTGCGTGTACATACTGACGAATCTGGTTGTCTCTCATGGGCTTCGTAGGTATGTTCTTACGGGCGCGCCCGGAGTTCTACGAGCTGACATGTCTTAAAATGCAAGACTTTAACACTAGAATCCGACCACTTTATTTGCATACGTGAAAAAGTTAATGAACAAGGCCAAGTCGTCATTATTGACCTCTCGGACGCCAACAATGTTCTCCGGCGGCCCATCTCCGCTGACTCTGCGATCATGCACCCCAAGCAGAAGATCCTTGCGTTGAAAGGTGCGTTTAGCGGCTCTGCCGAGGAAACTAATGCTTACATGCCAACGTCCGTGGTTCTTAGCTGCCCGCACACTTCAGATTTTCAACATTGACACGAAGCAGAAGGTCAAATCACACGTCAATAACGAGGATATCGTGTTCTGGAAGTGGGTTTCGGATACGACCATTGGAATGGTTACGGAGACGGCGGTGTATCATTGGACCATTGCCGACCAGACCTCACCCCCGCAGAAGGTTTTTGATCGTCATCCGACCCTTGCTGGCTGCCAAATTATCAATTATCGCGTAGCTCCCGACGAGAAGTGGCTTGTTCTCGTTGGTATCTCAGGGAACTCCACAAATCCCTCTGCGTTCAAGATCAAGGGCTCCATGCAACTTTACAGCAGAGAGAGGGGGGTCAGCCAGCCTATCGAGGGACATGCTGCTTCGTTTGCGGAGATGAAGTTGGACGGACACCAGAAGCCAACAAAGCTCTTTACATTTGCCGTCCGGACAGCTACTGGTGCTAAGGTAAGTAGCTTATTTAGTGTCCTCAGCAAATCATTGACCTGGTTTTGCAGCTGCATATAGTTGAAATTGATCATCAACAGCCTGACCCGCCATTTACGAAGAAAAACGTCGATGTCTACTTCCCTCCTGAAGCCGTCAACGATTTCCCTGTTGCGATGCAGGTGTCCAAGAAACACGGTATCGTCTTCCTTGTCACGAAATATGGTTTCATCCACCTCTACGACCTGGAATCTGGTGCTTGCGTGTATATGAACCGTATTTCTGGTGAGACAATCTTCGTCACTGCGGAGCATGAGGCAACAAACGGAATCATCGGCGTCAACAAGAAGGGCCAAGTACTGAGTGTGAACGTTGACGAGCAAACTATCATACCTTACATCCTTACGACTCTTAACAACACCGACCTAGCGTTCAAGCTTGCCAGCCGCGCCAATCTACCTGGTGCTGACGATCTTTACGTGAAGCAATACCAACAACTTTTCCAAACAGGTCAATTCGGTGAGGCCGCCAAGGTTGCGGCCAACTCTCCACGAGTATGTGTTCCTACCAGTTTATATTTCTCCTGTTAACATTATCTATCTCTTCTTAGGGTATTCTTCGTACAACCGCGGTCATCGAATCTTTCAAGCAGGCCCCCACTCCTCCTGGCGGGTTGTCACCTATTCTTCAGTACTTCGGTATCCTCCTGGAGAAGGGCGAACTCAACCACACAGAATCTCTCGAACTTGCGCGCCCCGTCTTGCAACAAGGAAGGAAACAGCTTTTGGAGAAGTGGTTGAAGGAGAACAAGGTAGGAAAAGGAGTTTTGATTTTTTTCTTGCAGGTTCTGACAACTCCTTAAGCTGACATGCAGCGAAGAACTCGGAGACATCGTCCGCCTACACGACATGACTTTGGCTCTTAGCGTCTATCTTCGTGCCAACGTTCCTAACAAGGTCATCGCCTGCTTCGCAGAGACCGGCCAAACTGACAAGATCGTGCTCTACTCGAAGAAGGTCGGCTACCAGCCTGATTATGTTGCACTCCTTCAGCACGTCATGCGTACCAACCCAGAAAAGGGTGCCGAATTTGCTGCGCAGCTCGCCAACGATGAGAGCGGTCCTCTAGTTGACATTGAGCGGGTGGTTGACATTTTCATGTCCCAAAACATGATCCAACCTGCCACTTCTTTTTTGCTCGATGCTCTTAAGGACAACAAGCCTGAACAAGGGCATCTTCAAACGCGGCTCCTGGAACTCAACCTCGTTCATGCGCCTCAGGTGGCCGATGCCATCCTTGGCAATGAGATGTTCTCCCATTACGATCGTCCTCGTATTGCCAACCTGTGCGAGAAGGCTGGCTTGCTGCAACGCGTCAGTGCCCATCACTTCTTGATTCACTCTATTGCTCATCCTCTGATAGGCACTGGAACACTACGAAGACATTGCAGACATCAAGCGTGCTATTGTTCACACTACTGTTCTCCCACCAGAAGTAAGCCTTACTGTCGTACTCTTTCAGCACCGTCCTAATCTTCGGGCTGTATAGTGGCTTGTCAACTACTTCAGCCGGTTGACGACGGAACAGTCGATGATCTGCTTGCAAGAGATGTTGCGCGTTAACATCCGCCAGAATCTCCAAAGCGTGATCCAGATCGCCACCAAATACTCAGACATTCTTGGCCCCGTAAAGCTTATTGAGATGTTCGAGAGCTTCAAGACCTTCGAGGGTCTGTACTACTATCTTGGTTCCATCGTCAACCTTAGCGAGGATCCTGAGGTCCACTTCAAGTATATCCAGGCCGCCACTCGCACTGGCCAAATTCGAGAGGTCGAGCGTATCTGCAGAGAGAGCAACTTCTACAACCCCGAGAAGGTCAAGAACTTCCTCAAGGAGGCCAAACTTGCCGACCAACTCCCGCTGATCATCGTCTGCGACCGCTTCGACTTCGTGCATGATCTTGTGCTCTACTTGTATCAGAACGGCTTGGTCAAGTTCATTGAAGTCTACGTACAACGCGTCAACTCTATTCGTACTCCTCAAGTTGTTGGAGGCCTCTTGGATGTTGACTGTGACGAGAGCACTATCAAGGCCTTACTGGGCTCTGTTACTGGCAACTTCCCGATCGATGAGCTCGTGCATGAGGTGGAACAGCGCAACAGGTTGAAGTTGATCTTGCCATGGCTTGAGGCTCGCGTTCAAGCTGGTTCACAAGATCCTGCCGTGTTCAATGCTATGGCAAAGATCTACATTGACAGCAACAACAACCCCGAGCAATTCTTGAAGGAGAACAATGTAAGCACTCACTCTTTCGGTTTGAAGCATAACCCGACTGATATTATCGGCTATAGCTTTATGAACCCCTTGTTGTTGGAAAGTTCTGCGAGGCTCGCGATCCCTACCTCGCTTACATTGCCTACGCAAAGGGCCTTTGCGACGATGAGTTGATTGCGATCACCAATGACAACTCGATGTTCAAGCAACAAGCTCGGTACCTCATCAAGCGCCGTCAACCTGATCTTTGGGCTCAAGTCCTTGTCCACGACAATATGCATCGTCGTGCCCTCATTGACCAGATCGTCGCGACTGCTCTGCCTGAGTGCACTGATCCTGATGATGTTTCCGTCACCGTCAAGTCGTTCTTGCAGGCCGATCTTCCAATCGAGTTGATTGAACTTCTAGAGAAGATCATCATCGAGCCTTCACCCTTCAGCGACAACAAGAATCTGCAGAACCTCCTGCTCCTTACTGCCATTCGTGCGGACAAGGGTAAAGTTGTCGGATACATCAACAAGCTGCAGAACTATGATGCCGCAGATATCGCGAGGATTGCAACTGAGCACGGTCTGTACGAGGAGGCGTTGACGATTTACAAGAAGCACGAGCAGCATGCCATGGCTATGAGTGTGCTTGTGGAGCACATTGTGTCAATCGACCGTGGGTTGGAGTATGCGACCAAGGTCAACCTGCCTGAGGTTTGGAGCCGACTCGCCAAGGCGCAACTCGATGGTCTTCGCATCAAGGACTCCGTCGAGTCTTATATCAAGGCTCAAGATCCGTCTAACTTCGCCGAGGTCATTGAGATCGCCAACCACGCCGGCAAGCACGACGAGCTTGTCCGCTACCTTCAGATGGCGCGCAAGACCCTCCGCGAACCCAAGATTGACACCGAGTTGGCGTATGCGTATGCCAAGACGGATCGTCTGCACGATATGGAGGATTTCCTTGGAATGACCAATGTAGCGGACATCCTAGAGGTTGGGGAGAAGTGTTTCGAGGATGAGCTTTACCAGGCTGCCAAGCTTCTGTTCACGAGCATCTCGAACTGGGCGAGGTTGGCTACGACTTTGATCTATCTTGGAGAGAACCAGGCGGCTGTCGAGAGTGCTCGCAAGGCAGGCAATACTCAGTGAGCAAAATTTCCTTTGCATTATACATACAGTACTTATTCTCCCATAGGGTCTGGAAGCAGGTTCACGCTGCATGCATTGAGAAGTCAGAGTTCCGACTGGTATGTGATCCTACTTTTATGCTCTGTATAATTTCGCCTCTCATACCTCATTCTAGGCTCAAATTTGTGGTCTCCACATTATCGTTCATGCGGTAAGTGTGCATACCTAGTTTGACTTCCTGTACTTATCGTTTTCTTGTAGGAGGAGCTTGGCGCCCTCATTCAACTCTATGAGCGTCGCGGTCACTTCGAGGAGATCATCGGCCTTCTGGAGGCTGGTCTCAGCTTAGAGCGTGCTCATATGGGTATCTTCACAGAGCTGTCCATCCTTCTCAGCAAGTACAAGCCTGCGAAGCGTACGTTCCTTCAGCGATGGCAGTAACATCGTACTGACCGTTTTCGCAGTCATGGAGCATCTGAAACTCTTCGTCTCTCGTATCAACATCCCCAAGGTCATCAAGGCTACTGAAAAGGCTCACCTTTGGCCTGAACTTGTCTTCCTATACATCAAATACGAAGAATTCGTACGTTAGCGTGATTTTCATGCATCGTATCTTACCAACGGTATAATGCCATCAGGACAATGCTGCTCTGGCTATGATCGAACGCTCGGCCGATGCCTGGGAGCATAACCAGTTCAAGGACGTTGTAGTTCGGGTTGCCAACGTCGAGATGTGTGTGAATATTCGTGACACGCTAGAGCTGACCCCTGACCTCGACTTATAGTTACTACAAAGCCCTGACCTTCTACCTTCAAGAACAACCCACTCTTCTGACCGACCTCCTTACTGCCCTGATTCCTCGCATCGACCACAGTCGGGTCGTCCGTATGTTTACACAAATCGACCATATCCCTCTCATCCGTTCCTACCTCATCGCCGTTCAACACTTCAACCTCGAAGCTGTCAATGACGCCTACAATGACCTTCTGATCGAAGAAGAAGACTATAAGACTCTGCGCGACTCCATCGACAGTTTCGACAACTTCAATAACATTAGCCTTGCAAAACGGTTAGAGAAACACGAACTCTTGGAGTTCCGAAGACTGGCGGCTCATTTGTACAAGAAGAACAAACGCTGGGAAGAATCGATCGCGCTGTCAAAGCAGGACAAGCTGTACAAGGACGCTATGATTACCGCTGCAACCTCTGCCTCCACCGAGGTCGCTGAGGAGCTGCTCTCCTACTTCGTCGATATTGGCAACAAAGAGTGTTTCGCAGCCCTTTTGTATATCTGTTTCGACCTCCTTCGCTCTGATGTTGTTGAAGAACTATCATGGCAACACGGGCTCAATGACTTCTACATGCCATACAAGATCCAAATTCAAAGATCGTTGGTGGAGAAGGTATTTCTTTTCTTGTTTTCCTCCTCTTCAATCCATTGCTCACTTTTCAACAGTTGGCCCACCTCGAAAAAGAAGTCAAGGAGCGCTCAAAGAAGGAGGCGCAAAAGGAGCAAACGGAAGCTGAGGCGCCGATCATCAACCCAGGGGGTTTTGGTCGAGGGCTTCTGCTCACGAACGGAATTGTTGGGCAAGCTCCTCCAATGAACGGCATGATGCCTGCAAGTCCCAGTAATATTCTTGTATAGATGACCAGTGCTGACCAACTCTTCCATAGGCTATGACTGGTTTCGGCTACTGATTCGCTCTCCTCTAGTACTTGTATAGTTGGATGTATAATTCCTCTTCGCTAATGGATTTTCTTCGTTCTTCTGCCGTACTACGTCGATGTCTTGAACTTCGCTTTGCTGTTGGTTGCTCTTCATGGTGGTCGCTGCATAAAAAAAAGGAATACATAGACCGAACGGTGCCATGAAATATGACGAGTGCAGTAGGACATTTCTCTGCTTGCATCCTCACGATGGCCTGGTATTCCAGTCTCATCCGCTCCACGGCTCTCCATTGCAGAGGTACATACTTGATAGCCAGGGTAGGGCGTTGGCGCAGACCTTTCATTTCTTCTTCCAGCGGATGGGACTGATAGTGATGCAAAGGGATTTTAACTTGGGAAAGGCGCCCGCAAGTAGCTGTAGGGGGAAAGGGTGAGGTGCATAGATTCGCCGGCCGCCTTTGAGCTCGAGGCCTTCGAGTTCAGGCCAGGGGCGATCTTTTGTGCGAGAGGGGGGAAAAGCTATATCGTTACTGCCCATTTGGAGATGTGGGAGAGAGAAAGTCAGTTTGTGGAGGTAAGTCCTATACCACCTATCAGAGCTGAATTCGAACTTGAACCAGTGCCGCCACCATGTCGATCTTCAACAGTCGCAATTGTTTGTCAGTCGCACCCTTCTCCAATTTGCCCGCCATCTACACTCTTCCAGCAATCTCGCGGGCTTCTGCGTCTGTTGCTGGCTCCATCTTCGCGTCTGTCAAGTCCGCTACATACGACGTCATCAGCCGCGATGAGCGTTGCCTCATCACCAAGTCCATTTCCTATACCCATGAACGTGCTCATTGGGTAAATGCTGCTCGAAGTGATGCCGACCGAAAAGAGGAAGTCGTAAGTTCACTTTCCCGGCCAGCCCAATGGTCAAAAACAGTTGAACTACATTGCAAAGGAAGAGTTCCTTGTCAACTTGGATATCGTTGACGCCGCCTTCAATTTGGATGACGCAAGTAACCTCTCTAATCGTGAGTAGTCTTCTGTCTCTAATCGCGACTCGCTCGAGTTTAACCCCCATCCTAGTTGATCGCGCTGTCCATAAAAGCCTAGACTCATATGCTTAAGGAGCTTTCGAAAATGGTTCGAGAAGACAATGACCGGCAGCTGCATCTTGATGAATGGGCACAAATGCGAAAGAGAAATCTCAATGTGAGTACTAGTTATCTTCAGTCGGCGCGCTATACTGACTCTTGAGATAACAGTTGACTCATCCAAGCTTTTTGAACCCACAGTATGAGCTAGTTGTGCTCCATCCAGAACATTTCCTTCCTGCTGGAAGCGTCCTCACCTGCTATGATCCAGTGCTGGCTAGCCACAAGACGTACACTCCATCACCCGATCGCCGGTTCCTGGTGACATCACCCAACCCCCCTTTCCACCGTTCTCTGGACCAAATCGCGATCCGGGCTCGCTACTGAACCCCTTTTTGGTCATTCTCAATGCAGAGATCAAGTTTAGGAGGTATCATCACCTTCCACCTCCAGAAGTACCATTACCTGAAGATGTCCTTGAGCTCATGAAGCTGACTGAGGACCTGGTTGAACTCATATATTGGGAACCAGTGCCCAAGCCAGGTTCTTATGCAGAACGGCTCATGATGACTCATCAGGCTTCTGGGAGAAGAAATGCTATGAGGGAAGCTAGACTACAAGCAAATGCAGCACTGGATCATGATGCAGAGTTGGGCATGTCCACAGAGGAGGATGTGCCCACAATAAGGGCCCATGGACACAGAAGGGCTCTTCCTTGGCCTGAAGGCACTGACCTGCAAACTCGAATTGCAATGGGAACAGCCTTGATTGCTGATCACAGTGTGTCCACCTTCCAAACACATGCCATGTTTTTTGCACATTATTGCTGTTTTCAAAAAGGTTGGCAACAGTGACTTTGGCGTCACACATCAAATTTCCGCAAGTCTGAGGGGTTGTTAGAGTTCTCGCCATATCTCTACATGAACATTGTATTTCCAAACAAAATTACATATATTCTGAAAGCTCTTGTCGATCTGCACACGATGGTGAAGAAAAAGTCATAAGAAATGAAGAATTGACAAAGATGCAACCTGACAGGGCTCTGGAGCACTGTTCGGGGCATATCTCGCTCAAAACTTCATTGTTTGGAGAATTTAAAAGCTCTATGGCTTCTCTGAACGATTTCCCATTCGTTAAAAATGAGGAAATTATGATGGAACCCAGAGAATGCAGGAGACGAGCCCCCACATCATCAGGATGGATATGCACAGCCACATACGAGGGCAGCAGGATGAGTGTCGAGCAGCTATAGAGCATGTAGACCATGAAACCATATATATCAGGAACGGTTATTGAAGCCCATGGTACAATAAGATAGTAGAACCCAAAAAAAAGACTTTTCAGCCTTTTTGAGCGCGAATCATAACAACAACTTTACTCTAGTCGTCTTGGCCTGTGTACGCCTCTGAGGACATCATAATTTCGTGAAATAAAGCCCTACAGTTGTCCACGTAGACGCATAGAATGAAGTCTCATTGAATTTGTAGAACACCAGCCCATTGTACACTCGCCATGTCCCTTCGACGATGCCTGACCCTTGTATGTGGCTGTGCAATGTCCATCCTGATGACGTGGGGGCTCGTCTCCTGTATCCTCCATGTTCCATCATCATTTACTCATTTTTAACGAATGGGAAATCGTTCAGAGAAGCCATAGAGCTTTTAAATTCTCCGAACGATGAAGTTTTGAGCGAGATATGCCCCGAACAGTGCTCCAGAGCCCTGTCAGGTTGCATCTTTGTCAATTCTTCATTTCTTATGACTTTTTCTTCACCATCGTGTGCAGATCGACGAGAGCTTTCAGAATATATGTAATTTTGTTTGGAAATACAATGTTCATGTAGAGATACGGCGAGAACTCTAACAACCCCTCAGACTTGCGAAAATTTGATGTGTGACACCAAAGTCACCATCGCCAACCTTTTTGAAAACAGCAATAATGAACCCCTGCTTAACAGATCTTGAGTATACTTCAGAAGATGAAGAATTTCTTGAGTCACTTCACAACCACAATTATGGTAATTATTCTTTTTCTGTCTCCCTCAGTCATGCAGCATCCATCTCTTAGTTGTGTTGTTTCTAGGTGCTGCTGCTGATGAAGAATTGGTACACAGACAGCAGAACACTGTTGCTGCCTATTGATGGTGTCTTGCTTGCATGGTGGAGGGTTTTGCTGCCAAGTCTGGTAAAGTCTACATTGCATACATTGTCTCTTAGTAACATCCTCAATAGATGTACAAATTTGTAGAGTAGTGTGTGCATTTCTTGTGAAGATATAGCCTTGATTGAGATTCCTCCATGTGAGTAGAGATTGAGAAAGTGATGAGCAAGCGAGATGCAACTGTCCCAGCCAAGTGTCCATTCTTCCTGTGTCCACACAACCTAGAGAATTGCTGACAGCAGCTGCTGGTATCGGAATGAGGATATGCCATGACACAGGAGCCCCTCCTCACCATCACATTAGCGAAACCACGTCGTCGTGCGTCCAGATGCAACTCTGCAGCGTCTCAACTGTCGCGCATATAAGTACTTGGTGAGAAGCAAAGAGAATAAGATTCGATGATAGATATGGAAACAACATAAAAGGCACTGAGCGCTGAGCAAGCAAGCAATAAGTATGTAGTAGTGGTAACAACAAGCAAATAAGATAAATCCTATATAAAAAAAGCACAAAAATAAAGCATCTTTTCACACCATCCGCTCCCTCGAAGCGCTCCTCGGCGCCCACTTCCAATCCTTCACCTGGATGACCCACTCCGTCTCCATCCCATCCGAACCATCCAGTACGTACACGCCCTCGTCGGCAAAACGGAACATGCCCTTCGTCAAGTTACGCTGGAGGACCTGGACGGCAGCGATCTGGGGCTTGACGATGTCGTCGTCGGTGAGGGCTGTCGGTGTCGGCGTCTTGTCGCGGTCGGTAGGGGGCGGAGAGGAGGGGGGCGCGTCTGTGGCGTCTCCGCGAGGGAGGGGCTCAGGGGAGTGGATGGGAGACCCGGTGGTGCTGGGCATGTCCGGTGGTGCTGGGGAGGGTTTGGCGCTCGAAGTCGAAGGATCTTCAGGAGGTGCGGCCTTGGGTGACGGAGAAGGTGCTTCCTGGTCTGGTTGGCCCTCTGGAATGCTCGTCTCTGTGGCCGAAGGAATGACCGTAGGCACCGGCGTTGCAGCGTCAAGATCTTTCTCCTCCGTTACACCCATCTCAGCAGGAGCTTCCTCCTCGACAACGACCTCAGCTTCCAGGATAAGAGCAATATCGTAGGCCCGCTGCGTCTCCGCTGCGCCCTGGGAAGGAAGGACACTCGGAGACAACAAGTAGCTCTCCTTCGCTGTTTCAAGGATAACAGGTCGGAGAAGTTCTTTCTCTGGGGTTGGAACTGGCGTAGAACGAGCAGCATCCGTCTCAGACATATCCACGTCCTCGGTTTCCTGCATTCGTCTGCGTTTACGCGGGCGAGGAGCGTCGGAGGCAGAAGATCGAGGAGACGGGAAGAGGATCTCCTTGAGCAAAGACGGCAGATATTTATATCTAGAACCCTGAATTAGACGGAGGAGAAAGAGAAAAGCAAGTGCAGACGCACCCAACGCGTAGATCACCCGATGCACCCATCCCAAACACCATCGTCCGGACGTCCATTAGTTTCTCCTCTTCCCCATGCTTCGTAGGCGGGCTCACAGACCGCTCATTCTCGCCATCCTCGTCCACCTCCTGAATAACATCCAGCACAGTTGCGTTTGGAAGCCGCCTCGGCTGCACAGGCCAACTATCCCAAGCACGGCGGCGCTTCCTGCCAGCCAACCGGTTCAACGGCGCCCAAGGCTGCCCAAGAACGGCTGCCCGTCGTTCCGCGTACTCCATGAGCCTCTGCGACCGATTGCGGCGTCCAAGACCGGGGGCAGTGTGTGCGGTATTGCGCTGCAAATAGTTGAAAAGATGATGGTAAACGAGTAAGTCACGTGCTTTGATATAACCGGAAGCAAAAGAGACGGACCTGAACGAATTCGACGCCGACGACCTCGATCGCGCTTCCGTCGTGGCCAGTACCCCAGGAGCCGCTCACGAGGCACCGACCGTCATCCTCGGGATCGTCAGGCAACATGTCTTCGTCCTCCTCCTCCTCCTCAGCATCCTCATTGACCATGCGCCCCGTCCTCCCAAGCGGGTTGAAGCACCGCTCACCGTAGCCGCCCACAAAGCGCCCAATCATCTCCTCGCGGATCATCGACGGGTCCTCGGTGGCAGATGCGCCGCCGTGAGTCTTGCTCAACGCCTGCACGCCCTTGGCGAAGACGTTGGTCGCCCCAGCGCCGGCGCACCGGATAACGCGTACATCAATGCGCACGTCGCGCCCCCGGGCGCGTGCAGCTCGGGCACCGCTCCAGCTGATCCACCCGGAATGCACAGCACAGAGGAAGACGTCCGAGTCGTCCGTGTACACGCGACGCGGTCGGCGCAAGCGCGAGCGTGGGCCTCCATTGATCGAGGTCGTGGAGGACATTTTCCTCGTTAGCGATGGACGCTGGCGTGGTTTGCCGTTGGCAGAATTTCCCTTGCGACGAGAGCGAACGGGTGGAGGGGGGCGAGGGCGAGCGTCGAAGCCGCCTCCACCCCAGAGGCGGGGTCGGAGCGGACGTTGGGTAGGAATGTGACCGTAAGGAACGATGATCGTTGTGCGGGTTTCGAGGTCGATCATGGGCTGAGGGAATTCGGGTTGGGGTGGATCAGGAATAGCGACGACAGGACTCTCCTTCTTCTCATGCACAATGTCGACCTTGCCAGCATCTTCGTCCACGTCCTGACGGTCCTTGGCCTCCTCCGCCTCGTCGATCTCGCCTTCCTCCATCTTCGACGTGGACGCACCCTCCTCCTTCGCCTCCTTCTCCCTCTCTTCTCTCTCCTTCTCCTCCCTTTGTTTCCTTTCCCTCTCTGCCTTGATCCTTTCCCTCTCCTTCAAATCCCTCTCCGCCTGGACCCTCTCCCTCTCCACCCTCTCCCTCTCCCTCCTCTCCCTCTCATCCTCCCGATCCTTCTGCCCAACCAGCCCACCACCCAGCTCAAAGAAATACGGGAACGGCACCTTCGGGTACACCCACGTGCCCAAGTCCACCCTCACCCGCGCGCGCCGCGTCTGCCCATCATGCTCAGCAAGCCACTCCTCCCACTCGTCAGCATAGTACTCCTCCTCGTCCACCTCCCCAAGGCCGACGGAGCCCAGCGAGTCGTGGTGCACGAGGAGCTGCTGCTGCTCCTGGAGCTTCTGCTGCCGTTGCATATGTAGCTGCAGCGGCGTCAGCCCCACCTGGCCATCGCGCTCCGCTTCCGCCTGCATCCGCGCCTGAATCTGCAGCACCTGTTGCCGCTGCAAGTACTCCAACTCGTCGCGCGAGGCGAACTTGCGCGGCGGTACGGGCCCCCCAGCCGAGTCGTACCACCCGTCGTCGGGGCCCATGCCTGCGGGCCCGAAGCCTGGCGCGATGCCACCAGCAGCTGACCCGCCGGGCCCTCCACCCATGCGCATCTGCGCGTCGGGGTCGAGCATCTCGACGTCTCTCTCCCTCTCCCTTTCATGATCCCTGTCCCTGTCCCTATCCCTCTCACGCTCGCGCGGATGTCCATGGCCCAACTCCGGCGCATACCCATGCGACGCATGCGGGGGTGGCATGCCGTGCTGCTGGTGTGGCGGAGGCGCGTAGCCAGGGTGCTCGTCGACCATTATCGCGTCTGGGTGACCCATGGACAGGTGGTGCGGGTACTGCCCTTGCGCTTGCGACTGCTGGTGGTGGATTCTCGGCGGGTAACCTGGGATATGTTCTTGTGGAGGAGGACCATAAGGGTCATCGCGTCTATCCCTTTCTCTCGGGTCGCGGTCTCTTTCTCGCTCTCTGTCCCTTTCTCTTTCCCTGTCACGCTCGCGTTCGCGTTCTCTCTCGCCTCCAACGCCACTACCACCGGCCGATGAGGGCGGCTTGATCGCCTGGTTGTACATCTCACGCCCACGCAGCCTCTCCGCCTCGCGCTGACGGTCTCTTGCCTCCCTATCCCTCTCTCTGTCTCTCTCCCTGTCCCTGTCACGGTCGTCCTTCCCCAAAACACTATTCCGTCCACTCGCCACGCCACTGCCACCAACGGATTTCCTCCCATCCCTAGCGTCCCTTTCCCTGTCTTGCCTCTCGCGGTCGCGGTCGCGTTTGTCGCTGGGCAGACCCATACCAGGGGCGACTCCAGGTCCAACGACGCCAGTGTTCGCTTGGACGAGCGCATGGACAGGCGAGCCGATCCTCGAGCCTCTCCCATCCCTATCCCTTGCATCCCGTCCGCCACCCTCTCTCCCATCCCTGGCATCCCTCGCCCCCTCTCTACCCTCACCCTCCTGCTGCACACTCGTACTAACGAACTGCGTATGAAACCTGTTCTGAAACTGCTTTTGCGGCGCCTGGGATCCGGGTCCTGACGCTGACGGCGGGGACGAGAGCGCGCCACTAGCCGATGCTGCTATGGACGACGCAGTCGAAGACGAAGGTGGCAAACCCCCACCACCCGGGCCGGTGGGTCCGGCAGTCGGGTTCGACACCGGACGCGATGCGGAGGAAGGAGGCGGCGGCGGCGGGCCTCCTGGGCCAGTTGGAGTGGGATGTGAGTGGACGGTGTGCGTGTGCGGATGCCCGCCGTGGCTGTGCGATGCTGACACGGGGTGAGTGTGCGAGTGGCTCGGGTGCGGATGGGAATGGGAGTGCTGGTGAGGTCCGGGCGGGGCGAGCGGCGGCGAGGCGTGCGTGTGTGGGTGGGGATGCTGGTGGGAGTGCGGGGGGTGGACGTGCGTATGCGGGTTCGAGTGCGGGTGGGCGCCTGGAGAGTGTTGATGGGCGTGCTGATGCGTATGTGCATACGGGTGCTGGAAGGGATGCGGGTTCGCCAGTTCGCGCTCTCTATCCCTGTCTCTGTCTCTATCAGACTCTCTACGGGGCAAGTCGCGCGGATCGCGCTCGCGGTACTGCTGCTCCCTCGGCGGGTACCCCGTACTCCCACCGCTCAACGCAGGCTGATGGCCCTTTGGCGGCGGTCCTCCAGGGCCCACAGGTGGGGGCGCGCTGGGCGGGTACGATCCAGACGACGTCGGTCTGTGGGCCTGCCCCGCCGCCGGTGGCACCCTCTCCCTCTCTCTTTCAACCCACTCCCTCCCTCTTTCCCTCTCCCTCTCGCGTTCCCTCTCCTGTCCATGCTTGAGGAGGAGCGCCTCGGTAGGCGTCGACGCGCGTCTCTCCCTGTCCAGCACCGAGGAAGAAGACGATGACGGCGGGATGACACCAGGCCCCATGATGCCGGGCCCAGGAAGGAGCTGCTGCGGTGGCGTTGTCGTCTGCTTCATGCCGAGGGGGATGTCGCCGGGCATGGGCCCGCGATCGCGGTCGCGCATGTCGCGCTGCTGGCGTGTCGTCGCGACGTGGCGGATGTGGTCCATGTCGGCCTGGTCGCGCCTCTCCCGTTCTCTCTGCTCTCTTTCCCTCTCCCTCTCCCTGACCTCCCGCTCTCTCTCCCTCTCCCTCTCTCTCATGTCTCGGTCTCGCAGCTCCCTCTCGCGCAGATCGCGCTCGCGTTCCCGGTCCCGCTCACGGGCGTCACGTTCTCTATCGCGCATAATGTCGCGCTCGCGGTCTCTCGGTGGCAGGTAATGGGCGTCGTCCCGGGGAGGCCCGAGGCGGCCCGAAGCCATACGGTCGCGGTCGCGATCGCGCATCTCCCTCTCCCTCATGTCGCGCATCATCACGTCGTCGGCCTCTCTACCACCGCTCGACCGTCTCGACAAAGACGGCCCACCGCTGGGGTTTGAATCGGAGCGTCCTGGGCCCTGTGGGGCGATGCCTTGGCTGTGCGATTGTGAGCGGGGGAGGCCGGGGATGATGGAGGCGCTGGTGGGAGTTGGGGGGTGGTTGTGGGCCCGTGCGTCGAGTGATGACGATGGGGGCAGGGCGGGGTGCGGGGGCTTGTCGTCTATTCATAGATACGAAGATGGATCAGAGAGATTGATGATAAGAAAAACTCGGCCAGAAGGGCAGTGCAGGCCTCTCAGAAAAAAAAAAACGCACCTGAGAGGATGAAAGGAGAGGGTGCGCCAGTGCCGGGGCCGACGAGGGTGGGGGGCGGGGCATTGGAGAGACGCCTCCTATCGAGCCTGTCTCGGTCCCTGTCCCTATCGCGCTCTCGCTCGCGGTCGCGGTCCTGCCAGTCCATGGTGGGGCGTGAAAGTGCAGTCGGTGGATGGTGACGCGGGTCGAGGAGGGACCCCGGGTGCAGGGGAGGCCCCCAGGACGGGGCCGCGGAAGACGCCGAGGATGGCTGGTGGTGGTGGGACGCACTTGGGGGTGGGACGGCAGGGGAGGCTGAGGTTGTGCGGGGTGCTGGTGCGGGCTCGAGGACGGGGCGCAGGGGAGCCATGGCGGGGGACGCGTGCAGCGAGGTGCTTGGGGTTGTGCCCGCGGAGAGTGCGTGGCGTGGGGACGGGGGCGGGGGGTGGAACGGGGTCGACGGCGACGAGGCGGGCTTGCTGCTCTGCGGACCAAACGAGGAGGAGGGCTGGGTGTGTGAGGCCGAGTCAGATCGGGAGCGTGGG